CAAGGACGAGTGCTGCAATTGAAGTTGTCTGTACTTAGGGCCCAAACAGAAACAAACACAAACAAAGTAGTTTGGAGTGCGTGGAAAGCAGAGGCAGAGGCAGTGGCAGTGGCAGGGGCAGGGGCAGGGGCAGACACAGAGGCACAAAAATAAGCAAATATCGAAATAAAAGAGAGCCAAGGACAATAAAAACAAACGGGTTTCTGTGCGAGCATCGGATTGAATTCGACTGTGATTTGAATGCCCATACCCATACCCATACCTAAACACGGATACAGATACAGCTACAGCTACAGATACAAAGATACATCCATGGAATACTTAAACTTCCTGCGGAAGCTAAGCTATAACAACAACGGCGACGCAGGCGGAGGTTTCACTTTGTTATTAAATGCAACATCATCATTAGGCTCACTAACAATGGCCAACAACACGCGGGAAAATGGGCGTGCTCGCCGCTGGGAAATTTCCCAGCGCAAGTCCTTCGGCGCTACGAAAATTTCCCAAACATGCGCGTGAACGTATCGTGCATATAGCCATACTGCTCGCACGCTTTTCCGATTGGTCGGGCGGCCATGACGCGCCCACCGAGCAGCGACGGCGGCAACAGCGGCAGAGGGCATTACAAGTAGCAGGCGAAGTTCCCGTCTCTCCACCTACCATCTCCATTCCCGCACTGGGATTGATGGCGTGAACGTCATGGGCGACTCAATGGAGTGCCCACTTTCGGTGGGCGGATGGGTGTGGCTGGAGGACCAGGATCCCCAGTACCAGCACCATTAACGACCCCCTCCATGTGCACATAATGTATATGGCCGCTGTACATGGCGCCAACACGCCATGTGAGATTTCCCTTTTTTTTCAATTTCCTCGGGGGACTGGCCCCAAGTTAGCCTAATGTTCGTGTTGATTATGTATTTTCCTATATTTTACTCGAGCTCCCTCGCTCGCATCCCCTCGCCACCCGCTATCCCCTGCTAACCATCTCTGAGAGCCCGGGGTGTGTCCTTAGACCAGCATGTATTGGCATGTGAAGGATCTGAGGTAATCATGGGTTAGCTTATAAAATCGAAATTCAAATTGCACGAAAGGCGGGCAGGCAGCCCCATCCTTGTATATAAGGGCTATACTCTTGCGCACAAGTGCTCTATAACAGTCCCGTTACACGCAAGAAATCGGATTCCGAAAAAGTGAACCATAAACTAAGCCAAATGCCAGGGCACGATAGCATACCGCTAACATTGTTGCCGAATAGAGAACTTTCTCCATAATAAAGTTTCGATGGCCGGAGCAGGCACTACATATGATATGATACTCGTAGAGTGTCTCCGAGTTTAGGCATTTCCCGGAGTGTGTACTTGAGGTTATGCAATCGGCGTTCTAGGCTTTCTAAGCGATCTCTATCTCCGCAGATGCAGAAAGTTATTCACCTTTTCCCACTTCAGATCTATCACTTTTTGTTTTAATTAATCCAGGGACATGATCCTCCTGCTAAAGGGATTTCCCCTTCGGGCTTTCCCACTTTGTTTGCTCTTCTTATCGGCATTCGAGTGCCCGAACTCTATCTCTAATGGCTATTTTTGCCGCGAGAGGTAATCCCCAGGAAATCTTCCTTATCGCCCATACCGCTCAATAGGATAATGGGTGATATCTCCAAGCGATGATATCATATTGAGTCCCGACCACAAGCACATGTCCTGCCCTGTCCGGGCTCACTCGCACTTGAGGGCATCGCAGAGAGGTCGTAAGTCGGTGGCAAGTATGTAGTTCCTGGACCAGAGGTCCGGACTTCTACAGCGCTGATAATGATAAATACAATATAATGACGCGGCGATTGCTGACAACATCAAGTGCTGGCCAGAGCGGGACGGGACGGGACTGGAGGGGACGCTACGGGAGAAGCCCAATCCCAGAATCCCAATCTGGGAATGGGAATGGGAATGGGAATGGGAACTTCGTATGCCCAAGGAGGTTCTCGAGACGCTACAATGGCCATCACACACGCACACAGCGACGACAGCACACACACACACACACACACACTCTCACTCAAGTGGCACTCTTGAGAGCGGCAGAGAGAGCAACAGGAGAGAGCCAGAACGAGACGGCAGGACGACACAAGGACTCCGTTCACATGCTCCGTCTCGCTCTGGCGGCGAATGGTGGTTGTTTTCCTTGGTGGTTGAATGGGCCACTCACATTGTAGCCGTATCCTTGTTGAAAAGGACATGAGAAGCCACTTAGCACGCCCAACAAAGCCGAGAGTCTCTCCAGTCTGGATGTGTGTGTGTGTGTGTGTGTGTGTGTATCTGTGTGCTATGCGCCCAATGGCAGAGGGATGCAGATACAGATGTGCACCGCAGCACCACAGCACCGCACACATACAGATGCCCAAAGACACCCCGAGCATGAGACCTGGTACTTTTCTGCCGTTGGTTATTGGTTTTTGGCTGTTGGCCGTTCTGTTGCGACTTGGACTCGTGTCGAGTTCTTGATTCCTCGTTAGTTGTTGATGACACTTCAGTTTGGAATGTTTAGAGTGCGCAGCTCCGCGGATCCGTGCCACTGAGACATCGAGAAACGTATCGCGACCCTTGAACTACCGAACCTTCCTGTTCGCAAATTGACAAACCAAACACAAAACCAAATCGAACTATGCCTGCTAACTGAGCTGCTCTAGATCTGCTCCAACAAACTCCCCAGTGCTCCCAGTGCTTGTGCTACATACGAAAACCTATTTCTTTTTTTTGGCGTGCTCCGTTTACCGGAAAAAAGCTCCAAAGTGGCGGAAAAACGCAAAAGTCCGCCCACGCCGCCGCCCGCGCCGCAGCGTCGCAAGTCGAATAGTGGGTCCCCGATATCGCCCAGCGACATGACCACGTCGGTGTCCTTGGAACGGACTCCCTCGAAGCGGGAGCGAGACCGTGAGCGGGACAACAGCAGCGGTCTGGGCAGCGCCGGCAGCTTGCCCGCCTCGCCGCAAAGTGCGATCACCGTGAGTCCCTCATCCCCAGCCACGCCTAAGAGACCGCTGCGCACCTCCACGCCTTCCCTGGAGCGGGAACGGGAGCAGGAGCGCGAGCGGGAGCGCGAGCGGGAACGGGAACGGGAAAGGGAACGGGAGGAGCGGGACAGAGATCGCGAGCGATCCGCCAAGGTCTTCAGCACCGCCAGCACCACCGTGCCCACGAACACGAGCTCCAATTCCGGACTGGCACCCGAGCAGCTTCGCATTCCGACGGGCGCGGCGGCCTTCAGCGGATTTCCAGGACTCCATAGCATGAGCAGTCTAATGGTCCCGTCTTCGGCGGCGGTGGCCGCTGCTGCAGCCGCCCCCTTCCTGCCCTGGTCGCCTATACTTCTACCGCCGTGGAGCCACGCCCTCCTGCCAGCCGCCTTTTATCCGGCGGCCCTACGAAACGCTCTGCCCGGGTAAGCACAAGGATTCGAAAGGGAAACGGGATGAAAAGATTGAAAGGACTAAAAAGCCCGATTGAACTTCAAAGCTTATAAATCTTAGACGGGATTTACCTCTAACTTTATATCAGGAACATCAGGGAATATAATCCTAACCAAATCAGACTTATCTTTAGTTGGATGACGCACAATCATTGCTCGAAGAATCTTCCCTTCAAGTTATACTAATCTCCGAACTCATCCTGGCCATCATCTAATCTTGAACTTCCCATTTCCATAGTTCCGTAGACAAGAGCTTTTCCATTTTCTCTAATCTTCGAATGATAATACAAGCCTTTGATGACCCCTTTGATAAGATCATCAAACTGATTGATTTTATACATCAGAATCAAAGGTCTAACTTGGAAAAACAAACCAAGTCCAGTCTTAAGCTGCCCTCGTCATAGTCCAAGATCAGACTCAAGATCACACCCATGCAAGCCCCTGCCTCCGTATCGGATTTCAGATCCCATATAGCTAATGGACTTGCCGGCTAATCCTGGCAGCTACTAGGAGACCGACCACTTGCCCAAAAACTAGCCAAGTCCCGCAGAGCGGCAGGATACAGATACAGATACCGAGATAGACGACGTAATTCCCCCGTCACTCTGATCTGGCAAGTACTCAAGGTCCTGGAGATTGGCGGTTGGGAAATTCTGGCTTGTTGTTCTGGCCTGGCTTAGAAATTCCCGTAGGTGAGTGCCAGGGAAACCCCAATCGGCTGTGACATGTGTGCGGCAGACTCGGGACTCAGATGGCTCGGAGATCCTGGCGTCACACTGTCTGGCCAAGGGAATTCCGCACAGGACGACGGGAAATGCCCGTGTGGCCCGTAGCGTGGGAAATTCGCGAGTCGGGTGTTTGGGAAAACTCGAGTTGGGAAAACCGGAAGCAGCCGAACTTGCGTCAACATGTGGCACGACCTGTTTTGACCTGCCGCGATCGGAGACCTGAGCTCTAAACTCTGAGCTGACCCGTTCTGACCCTTGCAGGTAGTCCCAAGCCCGGGCGAATTTGCGTTTAATTGTTGATGGTATTAGGAAAATCAAAACTAGGGATCTGGTCGGGACTAGGTGTCAATAATCCAGCGATTTGCGTGCACTTAATCAAAGTTAATTCCGGGCGAAAGGAGCGAGTTCTCGGCTCGAAAGGATATGGCCTATGTCTGCAGGATGCACATTCCCCTGCTCCTGATGGGCAAGTGCGAAAATCTATGAAAGTCAGAGCGCGGCAGGTAATACAGGTAGTCTTCCCCTGCAGATCCTCGCCAAGGCACCTCCTTTTGTTGCACCTTCTGGCCATTCATAAGATCGACACCGGATGTCGCAGCAATGAGCATGAAATGCTAAACGGAATGACAACCTTCCGAATTCGTTTCCCAAATATTCTCCACAACATGCCGGGAGTCATTAATCATCAGCCCTTTATAGAGTCATTTAGAAATCGAATATAAATTTGTAATGGATAACTTTCCTAGCTGGTACTGCAATCAGGATGTTAACGTGAATCTAATCTAATGACCGAATCTCTTCTTTAACCTGCAGCTTGTTCGACGCGAAGGTGCCTTCGTCGCAACGCTCTGGCTTCCACATATCCGACATCCTGAATCTGGAGGGCTCCGAGCTGAAGAATGCCGCCGCTGCAGCAGCTGCAGCCGCCCATCATGGCAGCGATTTGAGTCACCACTCGGCCAGTGAATCCACCAACGGACACGGCGGTCAGGGACCTCATGCCACGCCCTCGGCGCTCTCACCCACTCCCGCCGGCGGCTCGGTGGACGAGCACCACAACGGCAGCGGGACAGGAGGGGCAGCCGGTGGAGCCGATCACCACAACACCACCGAGCACCATGCCCAGCAGCCGCCAAGCCATCCACAGCAGCAGCACCCGCACCACCAGCAGCCGCAGCACCACCTGCAGCAGCAGCATCACCCGCACCACCAGCAGGCGGTGGCCCCTCTCCCACTGGCCCACCATCAGAACGGGGATGCCCAGAGCCACGCCCACGCTAACGCAGCCGCCGCCGCTCACCTGCTGGCCAGCCACAATGCTGCGGCTGCCGCAGCTGTGGCCGCCGGCCAATACCTGCCCAATCTGCCTAAGAACTTCCCGGGGAGCTTCGGGGACGAGATGTCCTCGTACCACCACATGGCCCAAACCATGATGCAGCACACGGGCAGGAGTGCGTGGATCAAGGAGAACGAACTATACGGTGAGTCCTTATTCTTATTTCTGATCATAAATAGTTAGAAGATGGGTTATCTCTGTTAACAGAGAACATTGAGAGTACTTCTAAGATAGTAACTCTGAAAAACTAGTTAGTTCGGATCAGTGGGTGGTAGAGGAATCCCTTTGAGGGGACTTCCTACGCGCTTCGACTGCATTTAACCCCCGATTAACTGGCCGAGTAATGATATTGCTCCGTAATTGACCGCTCACTCCTCCGAATTGACTGTCGATGAGGCAGTCGAGCGATGAGGCAGCTGTGTTTGCATGCCCCGCGGATTGGCCTGAGTTCAGGTGCTGCCAGGGAGTGACGAGTCTGATCCTGACCCCGTCGCGTTGCTTTCCCCTTTTTAACTTTCACCCACTCATTGGCGGATCGAAATGGGCTTCTAGCTTCGTGTCAAGGGGCTGGGGCTGGGCTGGGGCTGGGCTGGGCTGGGCTTCCCCTTTAATCTTGACTAATATTTTGTATGCGCTTCACACTTGAGGATTACCATTCAGGTCCTTCGTGTCCTCCGGCCAGGCCGTTGAATAGCGCTTGCCCCTTCGATCGCTCCTTGTTGTCGCGGCCCAAACATACCTCTCGCCCTGGAAATTTATGGCACGCACTTCCGCCTCGTCCCGCTCCCGTTTTCTCTCCTCATTTTTTATTATTCCTTTTTGCTTAGCTACAAATTATAATTGCTGCCCGCTTGCCGACTTTTTTCTCGTCTGCTCTTTTTTTTTTGGGAATTTTCACAGCTGTCTCGAGGAGTCGAGGAGGAGTCGTTTTGATTATATTAAGTTATTAATTTGTTGAGTTGTCATGGTGAGCGGATGGGTTTTTTTTGGCAGGCCAACTGGCAGCTTGGTGGATGGGCATTAGCAGCTCCTACGGCGCAGTTCTTGTTTAGTCAATGCGACACCGGGGGAAATCCAGGTGTCAGATAAGCCCACTTTCCTTTCCACTTTCAAATGAATCACCCATTCTAGACCATGTCTATTATGTCCTGACTTCATTAAAAAGTTAGTTAAAGTCTCCCTCATGAATACTCGAAAGATCCTCTGCGGTTGCCATGATCCCGCCCCATAGTATCTGATATAGCCGCGCCCGCCGATAAATCACTATCTGCTGGAAGCCCAGAGCTGTAAAAGTGGGCGAACCGGAAGAGCCCCGACTGCCATTGATGTGTTTGAGGTTTGGCTTTTGTGTCGTCCTTTCATTAGCATCCTGGTTCCTGGTTTTTAGTACAGGCCCGAAGGTCAGCAGTCAGTCAGCCAGTCAGCCAGTCGGTCGGCGGGAGATCGAAGCGATCGTTCCAGGTAGACGAGTAGACGAGTAGACGAGGAGAGAATGCCAACCTCCCTCCCTCCTGTACATAGGCATGAATGCGATCTCTGTTTGTCTCCGCCTAATTGACGTTATTACGGTGAAAATGCCAGGGGATGGGGCAGGGGTTGGTGCGAAGACCATGTACAGGGCATGCATCTGGCAATTGGATCGCATCCGCATCGACATCGACATCGCCATCGACCACAGCCTCATGTCGCGCCTAATCCAATTGCCGGTAGTTGCCATTCTGACTTTCCCCTTTTCCCCCTTCCCCTTGTCGTGTCGAATTGTGCTCGATCACTCGAAGGACGCCGAGGGGTGTGTCGGTGCATTAATTTACGACCAAAGGAGCATTTCAATTGCTGACAAATTCCCTCCCAGCTCTCTCACCTCGCCATTGTCTAACGTGTTTTCCCGAGCCGTCGCTCCATAGTCGGGAAACCCAAACAAATTGATGGCATTCGGGCGCCTAAGTGAACAAAAATGATGTTTGCATTCTTATGGACTTCCTAAACGATTTATTGTTCTCCTCGGATGAAGGGTATTTGGAAGCGGATTTCGTTTTCGATTCGTATTATGGCCAGATATTTGAGTTTATCAATGAACAACAGCAATCCCCTAACCCGAAACCTTTTCCTTCGATCATTTCAGGAACCCAGCAGCCCGCCAGCCCGGACAGCACCTCCCCAGTGACCTCCGAGGTCTCGTACACGTACATCGGGTCCAACTGCCAGACATCCCCAGCCCTGTCCGGCGATTACAAGAGCTACAGCCGATCGGCGGACAGCGATGCCTTGTCCGTGGGCGATGCCCTGCACACCCTGCACGGATCCTCGGCCAACGGCGGTGTCGGAGGTCCTTCGGCGGCACATGCCCTGCACAACAACAACAACAATACGACCAACAACAATAACAACAGCCTGAAGCACGACGGGCTCAATGGAGCCAGCAGTGGCCACGACGACAGCCTGAACGAGGATGGCATCGAGGAGGACATCGACGATGTGGACGATGCCGATGGCAGTGGTGGCGGCGGAGCCAACGGATCCGACGGCCTGCCCAATAAGAAGCGCAAGCGACGGGTCCTCTTCACCAAGGCCCAGACGTACGAGCTGGAACGCCGATTCCGGCAGCAGCGGTACTTAAGTGCCCCGGAACGCGAGCACCTGGCCAGTCTGATCCGCCTGACGCCGACGCAGGTGAAGATCTGGTTCCAGAACCACCGTTACAAGACCAAGCGGGCGCAGAACGAGAAGGGCTACGAGGGCCATCCGGGCTTGCTGCACGGTCATGCCACCCATCCGCATCATCCCAGCGCCCTGCCCTCACCGCGTCGCGTGGCCGTTCCCGTTCTGGTGAGGAACGGAAAGCCCTGCCTGGGCGATGGTTCCAAGCTGGGTGCCGATTGCGTCTCTGTCTCATCAGCCACCGCCACCGCCATGCAGAATGCCGCTGCCGCCCATCATTTGGTGGCCCTTAATGGAGCAGCCGCCTATCAGCATGCCGCCGCTGCGGCCGCCGGCCTACACGCCCACGCTCACGCCCATGCCCATGCTCATGCCCACGGCCATGGGCATCCACACGCCCACGCCCAAAGGGCGGCGTGGTGGCCCTAATATTGCTAGGATCTGATCTTTACGGGCCTGAAGCCACTCGAATAGGTGGACAGATGAACCCAAGGTGCAATAAAACAGAGACCAGGCCCCCAGATCCCCGGAAAAGCCAAAAAAATACAAAGCATTGATACTTTTAGATCGCAACTACTTATAGTCTCATAGATTCCACTTGAGTCATTCCTGTACATAAAATAGACGGCAACTATATACATATACTAGCCCCAAGACCCGGGCTCGAGAGCCACAGGTCCACTTAGTCAGGGGTTAGCTCTATCTAAACATAAAACCCATTCCTGAGTAGGGGAAAAATGATCGGCACAAGGGAAGGACTCCCATTGAACCCATTTCCACTGCACTAAAGTTGATAATACTTATAAAACCTAGAACTAGACACGATTTTTTTTTTTATTTTTTTCTAGACCTAAGCTAAAACCCAAAGGAAAATCTGTAAATACTAAAAACAAAAAAAGGAAAACCATAAACGGCAATGCAACTAAACCTGTACTATACATACTATTACTATCATAATTAGTGTTCAAATTTTTAGACAGAATTGAAGGAACCTTTTTTTTTTGTATGATTAAATATATATTTAATATAGACACTTAGTCCTAACCGATATTTTTTTTCATGTGTGTGCGTGTATAGCGGTAAAGGAAAACTCTTTGAATTTATAGCAAGTAACGAGTTCATGAATGTTAACAACCACAGAGACGGCAGAAGGCAAGCGAAGCAGCACTACAACTGCGACTGCGACTGCGACTGCAACTGCAACTGCAAATACATTTTAGAGATTTAATAAAATAATTTACAAAAATTAAAGAGCAATGTCTTGTAATTACTATCTGGCAGCTTACTATTACTGAGCTATGAACTGAAACTAAGACCCAAGCTAATCTAGAAAGTGTTATTGTTCGAACTTCGAAGAGTGATTGGCCTATGCACTTTATGGCATCGTAAACGACGGCACTCCCCCCCGCCCTGGGGCCCAGGAACGTATCGCTGGGGCGTATAAACATGTTGGACAATCCATAAATATGGTCTTGATTATGGTTGTTAGCTACCGTTCTGCGATTGGCATCGTAATCCGTCCAGTCCGCTTGATTACGGCACCAAAACAATATTTGCTGGATCGGGAATCAGGGGCCATAAAGCCAGTGGGTCCGAACCGATAACGGGGCCCAGACCCGGATAGAACTAAAGGGTAATCATAGGAGAGCTGGCAGGTGGAGCACTCTGTCTGCTGGCTCCGATTTGGAGTCGATTAACGAGTCATCAGCGGCATTATACCCATACAATGCCGACGGCAAATCAGTTGGGAAGATATAGACTGCTGCGGCACAGATATCACGCTCTGGGCCGCTTGACACATTTGGCAAATAAAGAACTCGAAGTCAAGTAGAGGCGCTGGAGTATCTCATAAAATAAAACGAGTGCTATTCTAATAAACGACAAATTAAATTACTCATCAATGGAATACTGGCACTTGGCTTTCGGCACTTGGACAAGTGGACAAGTGGACAAGTGGACCCACATGCTCGCCCATCCACCACCACCCACAAGCCACAACCCACAACCCACATTCGATTTCGGCCCGATTCGATTGCTGATCAGAGCGAGCATAATGGCAATAATATTTGTCCGCTGTATTAATAAACATCGAGTGGCCCTCCGGTCGTATATATTGCAGCAACCTACTAGCTGGCAGTACCAAATCGAAACCCTCTTTTACACGGGCCATAAACCCAGCAATTGCAGCTGAAGTGCCATAAATAGTGCCCCTACATACGCCCCGGCCCATTGTTATTTGGTTCTCCAATTGGTTAATTATACTTTTACGATCCGCTCGCACTTGATCGACTTGTTTTGCTCGGATCCATCTCAATGGGTATCCCTGACCATGGAGAAAGCTCTGGGTAGCTCACTAGGATGCCATTTTGCTAAGATCTCTTTAGCAGACCCCATCGATGAGGTTTCATTCTACCAACATTATACCCCTTTACTCTACCATTAAGGGTGTAATTAGTACAGTTTATAGTTAGATTATACCTTTTGGTATAACAAAAACCTATATCTGCCGATATCTAACGATCCCCCACTTGCCCACTTGCCCACCCAAAATCGTAGCACGCAGTGGCCTCTTGGCCAGCAAATTACCAGAAGTACATAATTACTGCACCCGTTTATGGGGCCCATAACCCGTTGAATGGCCAGCAGGCCATATATGTTATGTTGCCATAAAGCCATCGATTAGCGATATCCGGGGGAGGGTAGGGGGCCAGTAGCCATTACGAGTGGGAGTGTCAGAAATCCAAGTACAGCCCCTAATCGCCCCTAATCATTTGCATACCCATATCGCGCGGATCGGATCGGATCGGACAGGATGTTGATTGTGCCAGTGCGTATATATATATATATAGTATATAGTATATATATAGTATAGTACGTAAACGAGTATATGGCCCCAGCGAGTACATTTCAATACAATTCAATGATCTAGATTAGGGAGGCCCAGTGATATAGCCCTGGACTGGAAGCCAGCACAATCGTGAAATAAACTAATAATATTTCCTAACGCCCCCACCCCCGAATGACCGGCACCGCCCTCACCCCCCACACGGCCATCGATAAGCCCGATTCCCACTGCCTGTTTGGCTGCTTGGCTGCTTGGCTGCTTGGCTGTTTGACTGTTGGACAACCCGCGACGTTTACACGCTGCGCCAAGCTGATTGCCTCCCCGCCGGATTCCCCGGACCCCTTCCCACTCTCCCATCGATATCAGCGATATGTCTCACAACCGCTTGGACCGTTATTTGGCCGATCGGCCCGATCCGATCCGTTTCGCTCGCCACCTACTCCGCCTCCGCCTACTCCTCCGTCGGTCCCCCAGCTGGCCAGGCATGCATGACCGTCATGTCAAGTACAAACGTGCAGCTTATCGGAATGCCAGGAGCCTGTTCCGGGGGGGTCGCTCCGGGGGGGTTCCAGGTGGATTCCGTGACGTCTAATGCTCTTGTAGGCTATGGCTGGCTCAGCTTCCTAGTCCCCATTTGGCATATAAATAGACTGCAGTTTCGGGAATAATGTCTATCAATGGATGAGAGGTTGTAAGACTAGAAGTTTGGATCTGCCATTCTAGGTATTGCCAATCAATGATTAATGGGCTGTTCATCCAAATTGTAAATAACGAATCACCACAACTGACCATATCTTGTTTTCGTTGTCCGAGTCCAGGAACTGTTCGCAGGGTCAGGGAAGTTGCCGCTTTGTAGGCACATATATTGACCATCTTAAGACCCTTCGCTTTTTCACGAGAATTGGGTAATGGGAACAAGGTATGGATCGAAGAGGCGCCTCCGGGCACTTGCGACCCAAGAACTTTTATCATGGGACAGGTGGAGCAGAGGGTGGGATGGGACAATGCTTACAACACTTGATCGGAGGTGATTTCAGAGTGCTCGGACCTGAGACTGGAACTCCTCGAATTTGGCATTGATAAAGCCGCGGACGAGTGGACAGGCGGACATCGGCGACACAGATATACATAGTCCAGATACAGATACAGATACTAAATCGCGCTGCCAGTTTGTAATGAAAAATTGATTAAAGAACGCACACCTATAGCAGACGTCGACGGACCGATCAAATAATAAATTTATCACAAAATAAACGTGGAAATTAAACACCGAACAGGCCGAACCGAACCAGGCCAGGAGTCATCGAGCAGAGGAGCAGAGGAAGGGCGAATAAATGAGATTACAATTAATAAAATAATCGATAAGTGGCCGGTAGTCGCCTACATAAATATATCTGTAGGAATATTATATTGGTGTGCTGGCCAGATTGTAGAGCCAAGTTAATTACGCTTTCTGATTTGCCGTAACCACTCGATTCAGATTGCCTGGCGGAATGCTCCTGAGATTGGTTCCCAGGCCATGCAATGCTATCCTCCCACCCCACGGGTGTCCAGGCTGATATATGCTTTGTATTCCTGAACTCTGATCCATTATGGAAGGTTCAGAGCTGAGGGTATGCCCCGAAACCCTAATCCTCAAAGTAGAACAGAAGGGTTTATGACCCCTTCCACAAATCTCCTATAAAAGCCTTTTCAAGTCTGGTCACATTACTGAAGTTTATCTGTCACTGCCCAACACTACTTTTAGAATGCAAAAAGGCGGCATCGCCGCTTATTAGAATTACACTGCACGCGTCGCAAAAGCTTTGTTTATATTTTGGAATACACAAAACCTATACCAGGACCCAATGGGGAGCATCGCCAATGCCGCGTACCTGGGATTTCTGTGCCGGGTCTGCATGAATACCCACCGTCACGTGATCCTCCTGTTTGGGGACCGCGGCATTAAGATGCAGCTGGTGGAGAAGCTGGCAAAGTATCTCCACATACACGTCACGCCAGGTGACAAAAAGCCCAGGGTTCTTTGCATAGTTTGCGTTGAAAAACTTCTTAAGATCGAGCAGGAGGAACTTAATGCCGAAGGGAATGAGCCACCACCTCCAATAGCATCGTATGCAAGTAACCTCCAAGACGACGCACTCAACTCAAGTAATCAGGATGTGTCCCCATTGAATCTCACACACAACCCATCAATAGCACCAGATCCCCAAGATCTGGCACTGCCACCAGCTCGACGAGGCAACGGTAAGGAAAGTTTCCTCCAAAAGTTCTTTCCAAAGCATATAATGTTTATAAATCTTTCATGCAGAGGACTAGCCGGAAGCCCTGGCGAAACCTTTCCAATCATATCTACTTCATATGCGTTTCTACGTGGATCTCTTTCGTTTATTCTTTAATGTACAAATGTTATGTGGTACGAGCATGCCCAGCAGTGAGTGGCGTAGCTTACGGATGCTTCCATATTGATAAATTTATAAATCTACTTTACGGCCAGATATAGATCTCCAGACTGTGTTATCTCAAGAACTGAATAAACCAGCATTATAATAGTATGTTATATACGATCTCAACTGCTAGTGATTCAATATTCAAACTGGATGATGAAATTTTTAAACCTGGACAAGTACATTTTGGCCATGATGTTACTCCAATAGTGGAGACGGAAATAGAATGTGCCTCGTGCTGAGCTTCACATAATTTAAGCTCTTCAAGCCATCTTCTGTAAAAGAATTATTTTCATTTTTAAGCTAAGAACCCAAATAGCCCATAGACTAGGTGGCCAATGAAGGTGTCAGACTCCAGAGTGGGCAGATCCTGATACCTGATAGTACGTCTGTGTGAGTGGTCCATAAGTTCCCAGTGGCACGGGACGGACTGGGACTAACCGCAGCCGGGAAAACTTAACTAAACTTATTTCTACGCGATTCACATTGCATTGCTGACCTACAAGCCATTGCAGCCTACTACGGATTATGGGGCATTCGTAGCCCTCGGCTTATACATTAAATATAAGGATAGAAAAAAGTTGGCCACTTACATGGATTCCCCGCTTGGCGCACAGATTTTTCGTCTTAGAGGTATCGCCATAAATAACCCGCATCCAAGTCATCGGAAATCCAGAAAAGTCCATGATGCACTGCATCCTCATGGAGTCCAGGTAGACCCAGTACGATGGAGAGCACCACTGTAGACCACTTCGAGACACTGTACTAGCACAAACACACACACCTTGAAATGAGTTGACTAGTTTTTGGCGGTCCGCAGAGCTTAAGTCACGACTTTTGTGCTAGAAGCAGTTGGGAATTTTTGGTACCCTAGAATGTGCGAAAACTTTTACATTTTACATTGGATTCTCACTCAAGTTTACATGCACTTTACATTTGACTTTTAAATTTACATAGCCGTTGACATTAAAAAAAAAAACGTTAAAAATCAAATTAATTTTTCATAATATTTTACGTAATGTAGAAGTCCATTCCCCCAGACTATTTTGGCCATTAAGTAAGGCCTCCGCTGGTCTCTCATAATCGTCGAAAAGAAGTTTCCTTTCTTCAAATGGAGCTATATTTCGACAAAATAAGTTAATGTTAGAAAGCCTATCTTCTTTATGATTGCGGATCCTCGGAATTTTAATCAAAAAACTTAATCTTTGTCCACTTTTTGCAAATGCAAATTGTGGTCAGCCTTGAAAATAGCTTTCTCCCATTTTTCTCCTCAAGACGACAGTATTGTGTCCATAACTGAGCCAATAATGGTCCGAATATGGAATGCAATACCTCGTTGAGTTTGTCTTCTCAATCCTAGTCGATCTGCATTCACACTTTAAAATGTCAAATTATTGCCATTTTTCGAAAAAATTAAGATATTTCCCCTTATCGAAAATTCTATACTTGTTTGCTCGCCATTTCTCTCTCAAAATTACTGTATTTTGCTTATAGCTAAGCCAGTAATGGTCAGAATTTGGAATTTCATACCTCGTTGAGCTCGTAATTTGATTTCCATCAAAACTGCATCCCCACCTTGAAACGTAAAAATGTTCCCATTTTTCGAAAATTTTGATGATGTTACCCCTTATAAAAAATTCAAAAAATTGTTAAAAATTCAAATCCACAAAATCGTCAAATCAATGATGAGGAAGTTTGTTGGGGTCGTAAGCTTCACAAAACAGTCTTTACATTAAGTCTGAGCCTTCTTTTGACCAAGTTGTAGGTGTAAATCCGATCAGATCTATGATAATTTTCTGGCGAAACGCATAATCCTGATTTTGGCCCCAAAATAACAAGAATTATTGCTATAACAAAGCCAATAATTGTCAGAATGCAGAATGTGATGCAGCGTTGAATTCGTAATTAAAATTCCAATCGAACTGTGTCCCCACCTTAAAATGTCAAATTTAACCGTTTTTCGAAAATTTTTATGATGTTACCCCTTACAAAAAATCTGAAAATCGGTTTATCTCATTTTTCTCCTCAAGACACATTATTCTGCCCATAACTCAGCCAATAATGGTCCGATTATGGAATGTATTATCTCGTTGAGTTCGTAATTTGATTTCCAACAAAACTGTATCCCCACCTTGAAACGTAAAAATCTTTCAATTTTTCGCAAATTTTGATGATGTTGCCCCTTACAGAAAATCCAAAAATTAGTCAAAAATTCAAATTCACAAAATCGCTAAACCAATGATGAGGAAAGTTTGTTGGGGTTGTTAGCTTAACAAAACAGTCTTTATTTTAGCTCTGAGTCTTATTTTGACCAAGTTATAGGCATAGAACCGATGAAAAATAGTCCCATTTTCTGTCGAAACTCGTAATCCTGATTTCTGCTCAAAAGTAATTCGAATTATTCTCATAACAAAGCCAATAATTGTCCGAATATGGAATGTCATACATCGTTGATCTCGAAATTAAAAATCCAATCGAATTATGTTCACAGTTTGAAATGTCAAGTTTTGAAAATTTTTATCAATTTTGATGAAGGGCTACCGGAAATGCGAAAATTGCTTAATCCCATTTGTCTTCTCAAGATTACGCTATTTTGTCCATAACTAAGCCAAAAATGGCCCAAATGAGGAATTAAATACCTCGTAGGGCTCGTAATTTGATTGCAATGATTCCCAATTGGTTTGCATTCAAATCTGGGAAACTTCATTTTTGGGCATTTTTTGAAAATTTTGATGATGGTACCCCTTATCAAAAATGCGAAATTTCGCAAATCTTTATTTTCTTAAAATCAAAAAACCAATGATAGGGTTCTTTAGTTCTGGTCGTTAGCTACACAAAACTGTTTTTATTTTAGCCGTAAGGCCCATAGTGACTAAGCTATTGTTAAGAAGCCACAACAAAACATTGCAATTTTCTGTCAACAGCCTCGACTTAGTTTTGTGCCCAAGGAATCAGTGTTGAAATGCCATACCTTTCAGTCATAACTGCTTTCAAGCATGAAAGAGTATACTTTTGCTGATAACTTAAAGATAATATTCTAAGAGTACATATTCAGAGAGAGAATACATTTCCCACAAACGTCCTTTTATGAGATTTCCTATTTACTGGTTTGATTTACCTCCTGGCAAGACTCGTGTCCGCAGGCCAAATACAATTTTAATGACCCAACTCTCGGCGAGCACAATGTACTGATCCCGCCCTGGGAAATGGGGTTTACAAAGTCGCGGGACGCAATTCTAATTAGCCAATGCGGGGCCATAAACGGCCGGAAGGGTGGGAAAACCAGTGGGTGGCGTGAGGCTGAAGGGAGAACTTAAATCAAATTAAGTCGCAAGTTGATTGCGCATTTTACAGTCCTGTTTTGCTTATGGGGGGTGGCGAATGGCGAATGGCGATTGGCGTTTGGCGTTTTTAATAATGTTGTTTCCCATTTCGCGACCAGCGTCATTATCAGCATGTAATTTCTCATTTTCATAGTCAATTAAGTCAATCACACGCCCTTTTAGCCACCGCAAGGCCTTTGAAAAGCTGAAAGCTGAAAACTGAACACTGAATACTGAACGTTGAAGGCCAGCCAAAAGGCGAAAGCCGAAAGCCACCCCCTGGAAATTAACACGTTGGCGGTGGTGTGTTTCCGTTTCCGCTTCTCCCCCGCCCTTTGTTTATTTGTTGGGCTATTTGAAAGCGCCGCAGTGCGCGTTTATTGCTCAATTTGGAAAAGGGAATAGGAACAGGCATTACGTATTCATATGCTCATCGGGCTCATCGATGAGCGATGGAGGATGACTGGATGGATTCGGAGAGCCCGGAAAATGCAACCAACCGACCACGCCACCCACCCCCTGGGCAAGGGCGAAGGCAACGGCAACGGCAAAGGCAATAACTGTAACAATTTCAAGCACTAAAACGACACGTGGCAGCTGCTTTTAAAATTGAATTTCCTGCCATGTAATCTTGTCCAGAGTCAATTGTTTCTGTTTTTCTGTGTGTGGCTTTTGCACCACCCCCTTGGTTTTCCACCCGCACGTGCCGTCGCCGCATTGTTCTTTTTGTCTCTTCCGAAGTTGGCAGTTGTTTTGGGTGCTCTGACTTTGGGTGCGCCGCGGTCACACTTTCTTATTTATGAAGATGCGGCCAATATGTTGACGATTTGCTGACCCGACTCAGAGCCCGGAGACCGGAGCCCAGAGATACCCAAAGTTTACTTTATGGGTGTGAATGAGGCTTTGTTCATTCACAGATTGACTTTCTAATGGGGTGTGAACACACGGTGGGGAGGGGGAGGCACGAAACACGGATTGATGTGGCGGGATAACAGGGATCAGCAGGTCTTTGTGGGATCTGGAATGAGGGATAAATAAATAGGGCGGAGATTAGGTATCGAAAAATAATTAATATAGAGTGACCTAATTTGAAAAGTCAGATGGGTTACTCGTGCAGATAACTTTCAAGAATGCTAATTAAATCGTTTACTTCTATTCGATTACCAATCGATAGTTTTCACCCCACGTGACTGACAGTCCATAGATTTTCTATAACGAAACGTCAAGTTCGCACATTTCTTGCTGGATTGTCCATGGAGTCGAAGCTCACACGCCTAATTAACATGCCAATGAGTCGGCAGTAAGGTAAGTAACTTTACCCCTAATAAACCGAGAAAGAGACACGGCCACGGCAAGGGAAAGAGGCAGGACGGAGGCAGTTGCGTGCGGGGCCGAGGAACGTGCGCCATTAAAAAGCCACGAACATCAATTTAAATATTGCATTACCATGATTTGCATAAAGGGTGCACGCATGGCTCTTAACAAACATTCATATACTCGCCCATTCCCCCGGGAAACTCAAATCACAGACAGAACAAAGGGAAAACCCATTAAACCAATATAAATTTGCACTTTCACATTTTCACATGACCCCGGCGAGTGTTTATCCCCCTCTGGTGGTTGCTGCGGTGTCGATCGACTAATTTGAATTTGAATTTGAATGCACCCCCGCAGCCCCGCACCACGGCACCTTTGCACCTTGGCTGCCTGGCAGCACCTTCCCACGACATCGATACGACACACGATACGATCCCAACCATTAGCGGACAAAGGAACAGCTCGCGAGACACCTGTGAGGGGGACACTAAGCGAAATAAATATACATGTTAAGCGAGAATAGTATTGGAAGTAGCTTATATAGTATATATATGCAATAATAATATATATGTAATATAGAAATTAAATCACGTTGGCCTTGATTCCAAGTATCCGACGACTTAAAATTCAAATCGAAATTCTAACAGTCAAAACCTATTCCCAGGACAAGAGCCCCAGTGTGTTCATTCGTTCGGAACACCACCTAGCAGTAACACCCAAAACACAAAGCCAAAAATGGCTTTCCCTTTGGTAAGTTAAAAATAAAAACTTTTAAGTGCGAAAATAAACTACAAGCAGACTGTGATCTTCCAGCCGTCCCAAAATGTCTTGGTTGGCGTTTTCGGAAGTGGACAGGGGATGGTTAGCTGTCGTGAGTAACAGCGTAAAATAAAACATCGTTGAATAACCTTACACTTTCCAATTAGATACACTCAAGCTCGGGCTTAAACAAACAATGGTTTCTGATCTGCCACAACCAACCATCAACACTATGAGGAGGGAATGAGGAACACACACTGAACGACACCGAGAGAGCCTTCCAGCATGCTCTCGTAAGTGAGGAAAACCTTAATGCCAAACTCGGTACTTATTACATTTCCCAATTAGTAACACAGCGCAGGTCCGTGTGAGATGGGCTAACACATACATCCTACACGTGTACACGTCCTACACATACATATAACCTACGTGTTTCGGTTATACTAAGATGGAGATTCTCAGCAAAACGATGAACAAACTTACACATTCGAAAATTCAACGATCGGAATTTTCGAAAACATACACTAAGTAAGAGCACCTCAATACTAGGCTAAACTAATCCTTACACCTTCCAAATAGCTACACACCGCAGGTCCATGCAAGACAGGCGAATTTCTGATCCGAACTCTACACTACAAGTTAAACGACAAACTAGGATAAGGAACTATCGGAATTTTCGATATATAAAGTAAGTAAAAGAACCTTAATACCCTTTTACCCTTATCAATAACCATATCCTTGCACTTCCCGAATAGCTACACATCCAGGCCCATGTATGATGGGCTTGTTTCTGATCCAAACTACACTACAAGTTGAACGACAAACTAGGTTAAGGAACGAATAGCTCAGATCGCAGGTCCATGTAAGACGGGCTTGCTTCTGATCCAAACTCTAGGCTAAGGAACTATCAGAATTTTCGATATATAAAAGTAAAAAAAAAACTCTTCGCACTACAAGTTGAGCGGCAAACTAGTTTAAGGAACGAACTCTGGAACTGATGCTACTACAAGGATACCCATTAACTAGCTGTAACCAACTTTGCTTTGAGCTGTGCCGCCCAACATAAGCTGGACACATTGGATGGACTCTCGGGAATATCTGATGCTGCTACGAATCCCTACTATGATCTAGAATAACACATAAAACGACGACGAGTTCTTGCTGTGTGTTTGCTGCGAAATGTATTTCTTTCTGTGTAGAACTCGAGTGAGTTCAGCCTTTTATTGCATTATTATTGGTAAATAAACAAAGTGAGCGGCAGGCAGGGCAAACACGATCGCACGGAGGGCTTCGGCTAGGGAAATCAATCAATGGAAATGGAAATGGAAACTCGGTGGCAATTTGCGACAAGCGTAGTCGTCGATCTGGTGGCGATGGAAAAGCCAGGGAACGGAAGTCGTTAAAAGGGTTGTCCTCTATCTGTCCGCGCCCCACCCACTGACCTGTGAACAGCCCGCCAGCGCGTGTTCACCGCCTAATTGTCCGCGACTGAAAGGGGTCGAGTGGCCTCTGGAGAGCCTGTACTAGGGGAAAGTCGTCTCTGAAGTTATGTTTTGACATAATTATATAATATTTACAAACTGTTATCAAGGATATGTTGTTGTTTTCTTGCAAGTATCTCTGGCCATAGGTCACAAGGAAACGAGGTCAGGGGTGGGCAGCGCCTTGGAGCGCCACAGAGTGGTCAGCTCAAAGAACTCCATAAATCAGGGGGCCTGGGCAGGACAGGCTGGGTTACAGCCGGACAATTGACGTCAACAATAAGTAACAATGATGTCAACTTGTAATTGAATTGATTGACAATATTTTATGTAGAAGCAGAGGCCAACAGCGCAGCGTTTCCGGGGACGAGGGTTCCAAGGACCCTTAATGACAGAATTTGTTTAGATTAGCATTAATCGGGGGGTTGGGGTGTTGTTGTCCGATGGACCACTGGGTGAGTGGCCATAAAAAACGATAAGGAGATTCAATAAAAATACTTTAAGCGGAAAAACAAACTTGAATGGCGATAAAAAACGAGAGAAGGGAGCAGCGCACACAAAGGGCAACTCCGCCTGGGCGATTGAAAGGGCGAAAAGGCAAATGAAAAAGCCAACAAGGACATGGACAATATGTGCGGGACACCCCCGTCAGGACGAGCGAAGAAACTGCGCTTTTTAACTAATGAAATCGTTTGCTAAATGAAACGTGAAAAGTCAAATCAAATGAAAGCCAGCCAGAGTTCTTTTTTCTCGCCAGCGGAAGCGGAAATGTGTCGCCGTTCAGTGGCAGACGGGACCCAAAAGGACCAACAAGGAGCAACAAATAACTGCAAAATTTTAAAATCCAATCTCGACTGCGGTTACGCAAAACCAATTTAAATCCACTTGAGAGGCGGAGCTCGCTCGATTTCTGGCTTGGATCGGATTTGTTGGGACTCGGATTCAGTTTTGATGTGTGGCTAACTGTGTGTGCTCTTCCGTTTCCGGGAGGTTGGGTTAGTGGAGGGTGGAGGATGGAGGATGGCTAACGGCACAGTCACTGCGGTCTGCACTCGGCTGTGCGATTAATTTGCTGATTTATTCGCAACGGAAGGGTTGCTTAATTCCCACTGACGGCTCTTTTATTTATTTACTCGTCCAGCCTGGACGCAAAACAAAAGTAACTAACTTAGACCCAACCCCGTGGCCCAGATGGGTCTGCAGCAGTTTCCAACGGGGTATACAAGACCCAGGTTGGGGAAACTAGAAGAGCAACTATGAGTAAAATCAAGTTTGAGTTCAGAAAACAATATTGTTTTGGCAGAAAAACTAATTTGTTTGGAGATAGTCTCAGTACGAAATTTAAGAACTTTGGTATTTATTCTACGGTAATCCCTGTTCCATCAGTTACCCTGCTGAAAAATAACCCATCCAACTAGAGGCAAAGAATAATTCGGGCGGGCCAAAAAGTTTATCGTGGATGCCTTTCATTTGATTCATTTTTCTTCTTGGCTTTTTTTTTTGCCGGTTCTCGGTTTTTCCCATTTCATTTTCCTGGTTTGCATATGCACAAAAGTTGTTTGTCGGACCCGCTAGCCAATTACTGCAATGAACAAACACATCCAAACATACAGACGAGCATAAATATCTCCAGCCAGGACAGCTCCGTAATTCCACGGAGTCCCAAGTCCTGACTCCTGACTTCTGACTCTACGCCCTGTGCAGTGGTCGGCTGGATTTGTATACTTGTTGTCTGGTTATCAACATGCTTCCGGAACTTAATGGCCTGAATCCTTTTGCTGCCTTGATTTGACTCCCTTTCCACTATTCGCCATGGTCCTTGGCAGGACTCGAATAAAGTGCGTTGGCCTGTGAGATCCTGCAAGACTATCCTATGGCTATCATAACTATTGCTAAAAATATACAGATTTGGTTGATATTTTGGCAAATTTGAATATCCTGAAGATACTAGTTACTCAGGAACCTAAGAGCTAGTTTTGCTACCCGAAAACTGAAACTGAGCTGACATCTCTCCGAGACGCGAAGTTTACGATTCAGGATTCAGGATCCCATCCATAACGGAATTCCCTGCCCGGTTCCGCCTCCTATTGTTTGCTTAGCTCCGGTTGTGCTTTGTTTTTAATGCGCTTTTGATGAAACCATCATGTCACATTACATCAAACCAAACCAAACAGGACAAAACAAAGCCAAACAAAGGAGCGTACTTGGTATATGGGACGCACACGCAGATGGCCGACGAATCCGGCGAGTCCTCTGAGTCCTGCGGGGGTGTCGGGCCACACACAATCCTCCCGGGGTACAAGGATTTCGGCCATTTAGCAGCGGCAGCTCGAAATCTCATAAACACTTTGCTCGGCACAAATTGAAATCTGGTTAGCAGGATGGCAAGGATGGGGAGGGGAACTAAACAAACGTTGGCACGCTTTTCAGCGTGCAAGAGGCTGTGGACGTGAGAAGAGCACTGAGGTTGCACTGAGCGAAAAGACCGAGGAAGTCATTTAACAAAGCGAAAGTCTTCCCCTCAAGACAATGAGAATGTGTCTCATATTTTGTTTCACTGCACGGGAAATGGAGTTCATGCGTGCAAATCAAAGTGAACTGGGCAAGTGTAGCCAAGCAGCAAAGGACAAAGGGCAAGAAGTCAGGGGTGGGCGGTTAGATTCTCCTGGATGGCGGGGGGCAATAGTGGGTGGTGGTGCACAAACACATTTATTGGCTCGGCCAGAGCGTATTAGCTGACGACGTGAGACTCTGCCCGTGGGACAAGATTCATGGGTCTTGTTATTCCCTTTTCGAAGGATGCGGCTAAGGGGTTACTGGCGGGATTCTTTATTGAATTTTTATGGGATCGTAATGGGGATCGTTTAGCAGAAAGGTCGTACGAGTCGTTTACAAGCAAATGTCTTGCGGAATAAAACCAAACTTGGTTACGACTTGAGCAAAGGGATGCTAAATGCGGACTTCTTTTGCAGACTTAAAACTGATTTAACTAAGATTTATCAAGATCAATTCAGATTTCATTAAAGGCAGTAAAATTGTGAAGCATAAAGGATATACTCTTCTAGTTCAATGTCATAAATAAACAAATCGAATAACTCAAACCCCAGTCAAGTATTCCCCTCAAACCGAAGAAAAACTGCATTTGTCTAATCACAACTTATTGACCCTCAGCCTCGATGACCCAACGACTTCAGATCTCGCCCGAGAGCCTGACGATGACCTTAGGTAGTGGGCACTCCATGGGTCTTTGTGAGTCTATTGTGACTGTCATTGCAGTCGAACTGTCGGAGTAGTAACCCCTGCCCCAGGTCTATTATGTTTTTTAGTACTTCCTCGAGCAGAGAGCCCCGAACTGGCAACAACAATGGCTGGGCGGCAATGTGTCATGCTTGTTGATTTGTAAGGATGCAGTACAGCCGCTGGGATTGTATTGACCGGAAAATCATAAAGCTCTTTGTTGCCGAGAGGAAATCAAATCAAAGCAGCCTCGTCATGGAGCTGGACCATCTATTCGAAACCGGAAATGTTGCCCAGTGCATTTAATCTCTGTCCGCTCTTCGATTTTCCATTACCCGATTATAATCCTACCTCTCCCTCTCCCTTTTTCCGCGCTTCCTTCGTTTTTTGAAAAGTCTCTGCTTCCGCCGCAAAAGTTGCTCCGATCGTCGGCGTCATTATCATGGAAAATTGTTTATAAGTTGACAGGCAGTAAACAGGATTTGCCTGAGCAGCAGGCAGAAGGCAGAAGGCAGAAGGGGAAATGCTAGGAAGTCAAAGTTTGGACCCAAATTAACATCCAACTATGACAGGAAATCAACTTCCCCCTATATGTATGTGGGTGAGTGTGTGCATGTGTGTGTGTGGTCTGTTTTGCTCTGTTCGGAAAATGTGGAGCAAGTGGAAAATCGAATGTGGCGAGAGGTTAAAGTTCAGCCAGTTGGTTCTAACTTCGAATTGAGCTGGCATCTTTGGTTTTCATACACTTAATATCGATATTGATATATATATAGTTGGTTCAGAATTGGTATTATGCATATTCTATAGGTTATCCCCTCCCCAAAGTTTTCCAGCTGGCTTGGCTGGCTCACTTGTTGTCGGTGGCTTCAGGTTTTCCATGGCTCCCTGGCAAATGACCCATAAATGACACGCACACAAAACGATTTCCCGCCGCCTGAGTTGACATGACCTGACCTGAATGAGCAATGTCCACCCCGCACTATCTGGATATCTATATGAATATATATCAGGATCCCATCACCACTCGTACTCACATCCACAAGCCACGCCATGCTCTTCCTTCGCTCGAAGCCAATGTACCTGCACAGAGAAAATAAAACATAAGAAATTATTAGTTTAATTTAATAACAGTTTGGTAATTTGAGAAAAGATCTTCTTAACTACAAAGTAAATGAAATCAAAGTAAGTTTAAACCAATTCAGCTTAATTACAATACAGAAACGCTAATCGCTCGAGCAATTTGATAGAATTTTGAAACTTAAATCGAAATTATATAGAATAATAAGCAAAGGTAAATAAAGTTAGCACTACAAAATAGAGATAAATATCCTTAAATGAAAAAAACAAATATTGGAATACGGAGTCTAGGATACAGTCTTTTATTTCCGTGTACTATACCGCTTGGCTTATCCATTTATGAGTGCACATTAACCATTATGATTTATCCACATATGGGTGAGGTGGGTTGGTGGGTTGATAGGTTGCTGGGTAGTGGGGTGGTAGGCAGTTGGGTGGTCGGGCGGTTGGACACGGATGAGCGCCGTCCGGTAAGTGCCGCTGTGCATTTAAGTGGAAACTATAGATAATATTTTTATAGTTGCACTGCCACCGATTGAGTGTCCCTGCTTCTGGCCAGTCTTTTCGGTTTATTGAATTGCTGGCCGCATTGAAATTTATTTTCGCCGATCTCTTGATTTATGACTAAGCATTTTCCTTCCTCACATCTTAAGGCCACCCATCGCCCTCGCCCTCGTCCCTCACCGAAGCATGTACATTCATACGTATTTTGGTGACTGTCCGCTGGTCAGCAAAAGATGCGTCAGCGTTTAATTTCATTTTCGACATGTGCAGGACATTAGAGACTGAAACATAGAGAGAGAGAGCCTAATTGACAGATTCAATTTGCTTTTGTCTTGGAACTGCGAGCCAAGCGAAGGGGTAGACTGGGTGCTTAAGGTTTTGGGCACTACGTGACTTTGGCTTGGGCCAGCGGACCAAATATACGGACAGAAAAGCGGACAAGGACATGCATTTGATACGCGTTGGAGGAGTTAGTCGTCCTGGCAACTCATTTCATTTCAATTTAATTGGTTATTTTATTCTATATATATAGAAAGGAAAATACTCAAAAATCGGCAGATTTATCGAATGAATATTTATGCGTTGTTCCCAAAAGTATGCAACAAATTGGTAGATTTATTTGATTTATTTATTTATTATTAGTTTTAATCTTAAGAAGCTTTTTTAAAAACCGCTTTACGTAGAAACTTCGATACCAACGTTTTAGGATCATAACTCATATTGAACGTAGACTATAAATATTAAACACCGACTTAACTTAGCGCTAGAATACCGAACTTAAGTCACAACGGCTAGTAAATACATTAAATTACTTAACTTAATAAAACTTAGTTTCATGGACTTAGATCCTCTGTCTAAGCCTGGAGTAGTGTAAGACATATCTAACGATTTTAAATAAACTTCTGAATAACGTCCGTTCCATGGCGATAAGACTTCCCTTAACCTTCGCCAGCTTTGGCTGCCTCTTCTCATTAGCCTCGAGTACATCAATCATCAGCTTGTTTTAATTTTAAAGGAATCGCACCCCCTGCGGAGTGGCATGGGCACTTAATTAAATCCTCTGCCTCGTATGCCACGCCCACGGCCGCCCACACCATCCCCCGAAATCTTGACCAACCGCGTCCGGAATCCCGCCCATAAAAATGAAGAATCAACGCACAAAGGCCGTCTCATTCTTGCACCAAGGGAAATTTCCCACTCGAGGGAAATTTCCGCGCTCAAGGAGCGCCATTTTGAGTTTCAGTTTTCCCGACGAGTTTTCACCACGCCTCAAATCACTCACTCCTCAACCCCCCTCCCTCATACCTTTCACAAGGGCTTAAGTTTCACATTTTGTGCGGCAGTCAAGATTGATCTATTTTAATAAGAGACGGCTCTGAGAATGTTTTGTTAACAAAAAATGCAAATTGCGAAAGCCGAGGCGTTAAATTTTGAAGAATTTTTAATTTACTACCCGCAGCTAAGCCCAGTTAATTAAGGCATAAAAGCTAAAGAAAACAAACGGGGATTACGTGCTGCACTGCCTTTTCCGCAGCGCTTTTCCTCTTTATGGTAGAATGAATCGTTGAAAAAAATACATTTTGTTTGCGTTTAAATTAGTGATCTGATGTAGTTGGAATAAATAATCGTTAAAGATACGCTAAAGCTAGTTCGGACCATCTCCTTATTATATCTATAGTTATGCTTCCTCGTCAAGCTAATCAAGCCAATCAAGCTAATTATCATCCATCATCGATTTGCGTGTAAAAATAATCTCTGTACCAGGCAATAATAAAAAAAAAATAATAAAACAGAACTTCCCTACCCATGTACAGTGGCCACTGGCTGGAGAGCGATCGTTGTGCTGAACAACCTTCGAAGCTCCATTAAAATTAAACTTTAAGCTTAAACTTAATGCTAGGGGTCGTCTGTAAAATCGGAAAACAAACAAAAACGCATTTTACAGATGCGATGCCTAAATGTGTGCCATTGGACCGAGTGATTACTGTACATGGGAAACACTAAAGCAGAAGAGGCGACTCGGAAAAGAAGCGTACAAGCTAATGGAGTTGTTTATAAGATAAGTTTGCTGTCCATACTGGAAAGGCTGCGTATACACAACAACAAAGAGTATGTATAAGGAGAAAAACAAAAAGATGTATATTGAAAGTAAAGCGGACAACAACTACTAGACAAAGAGGCCAATTGGATGGCAGTCATCATCGGACGATCATCAAGTTCCCTCCTCTAAGTCTCAAAGTACTTGTAGATAGCCGTCACATAGGACATCACCTGCATCCAGTCGGGTCGTTCGATCTGACACATATCATTGATGTTCTGGTAGCGAATAAATTTTCAGATAATTATACATTCTCGTAGGAAATCAGCAGAGGACTTACCAAGGTGGTGCCCACTCCCACGGACTCGGCAGCTGCGAATGCCAGCGAGAAGTTGCGCCGCTTGTTGGCCGGACTCAGTTGATCGTAGGGAATGCGGTCCGGTAGATACGAGTGCAGGATCGCACAGAAGGCCAGGCCATCGTTCCACGAAGAGCTGAAGTTAGTGATGTCGATGTTGCGGTAGCCCACTGTTTTGTTCTGGCACCACTTCAGCAGGGCGTTGCGCTTCGAGCCGCCGTTCTTGGCCAGCATGTTCAGCGGGTCCTTACGTTCGCCTAAAAGAAAAGAAGGCATTAGTGTTTCGTGGCAATTAGTATTTTTAGTACTCGAAAAGTCTATGTAAATTATCGAACTTATGGGAAAACTTATGCTAACTAAAGAGTATTTGGAGATCGATCTTCCTACCGCCAATAAAGGACTTTGAGACATTTCCAAAGGGCAGACCCCCGCTGCTACTGCTGCCCGCACTGCTAGGCGTAGCCGGCGTCGAAGGCTGGGAAGCATTCTGAATCTGGATCTGAGACTGGATCTGAATCGCGCTCTGGGGCGTTGATATCGCAGTCTGCTGGTGCTGCTGTTGATCGCGCAACGGAAACGTGGCTTTGGTACTGCTAGCTGAACCTCCTCCGCCGCCAGCTGGAATAGTCGCTCCTGTTCCATCTCCCACTTGATTACCCACATTCACGTGCAGGTTGCTGCTTTGCAGCACAGGCAGGCGAAGCTGTGGGGGATCGTAAGCATTAGTACATAGATTCTCCATTAATATCTATTGCAGTGTAAACTCACGCTTTCATGCCAATCACTGGAGGGGGGAAAGATAATGGGTGTGGTCCCCAGCTCTGGAGTACCGCTGTTTAGGCTGGACGTAGAGCTGTAGTGGGATTCCGTCTCGTCAGTTTTGCCCTGCTGCAGAATCGGAAGGGAAAACGTTCAAGTTAAGAAACATTTCTGGTAAATATGATCAATTACTGTACTCACCGCCTTGTTATTCTCGATACTCTCGATGAGCGTTTTAACGGAGAGTCGGGAATCCTGTCGGCTAAAGGACAGCTTGCTGCGACGCGTGGCCATCTCCATCTCACGTTGGACTGTGGACAGCACCGACTGCGGAGTCTCCGACTGTTGCAGTTCTGTGAATGGTTAAGGAAAAACGTTAACCATTACTGTTTCATTCGAGAAAAGGCCTTGAATGTACTTACGTTGCTTGGTGAGCTTCTCGAGCTGCTGCTCCAGTAGTCTGATCTTCTCCTTCTGTGTCTTGTTGTCGAGCACGAGTTGCTCCCGGGCGCTTAGCGCCTCAGTCTTGAAATCGTTGGCCACTCGCACGGTCATGAGGAGATCGGACTGGAATTGCTGCCACTCCTCGGCCTCCTTTCGCCGCAGCTGTGTCTCCTGGTCGAGCCGGCACTCCGACTCGCCCAACTTTAGTTGGACATCGCCCAAGTGGCGCTGGGTTTCGCCAAGCAAGGACTGTAGCTGAGCTTTGTCCTCCTGGTGGCACTTGCACTGCACCTGCAATTCAGCCACGCGTTCCTCTAGCGCCTGCCATTCGCCAGCTATTTTGTCCTTTTCCCGTTGAAGCTGCTCCAAGCGATATTCGAGGTGGGAAACTGCGCACTTGGCATTGTTCTTAGCCACCTTGCATTCCTCGGTCAATCCAGAGAGCTGCTCGCGAAGTCTTCTTAGCTCAGCTTGGCTGCGCGAGCACTGATCCTGCAGTTCGGCCACACGTTCTTCCAGGGCATCCTTCTCTTTCCTGGCCACATCCAGTACATCGCTGAGGTCTGTCTTGTCTCCTCGGGCCAAATCGGCTTCAAGCTCCTCGATTTTAGAACGAGCATTCTCTAGCAAAGTGCTTAACCGACTGATTTCGATGGCCCGCTGCGAAATTTCCTCCTTGGCCTGCGAGAACTGAGCTTCTCCTTGCCGCCGCTCTGCGTTGGCAGCATCCAACTGAGAATCTAACAGAGCAATCCGCTCCCTCTGGCGCTGCTGCTCCTGCTGGCTAGCTTCCCTCGCCTGCTTTAGCTCTGCCAGTTCAGCTCCCAGTTCCTCCTGCTTGAGTAAAACAGCCTCGCGCTCCTCCTGTGATGTCTTAATCAGATCCAAAAGCTTTTGCTCCCGCTCCGAGGGACTGACTTCGGAGGCAGCGTGCTTGGTATCCCGCAGGAGCAGCTCTTTCAGTGTGCTGATCTGCGTTCGCGATTCATTTAGCTTCTCGGTCTGTCGACAAAGGGACTGGAAAAGCACATCCTTTTCCTCGGCAAGACGTTCGTTTTCCGTCTGTGTATCTGTCAGCTGGGTTTGCAAGTCAGCCAGCTCCTGCAGTGTAGCCTGTAGCTCTTCATTGGTGGAGTAGTGGGTCTCCTCCATCTGAATTATCTTGTCCTGCAGGCAGGCTACAGAGATCTCGCTGGAGGATGACTGTTTATCCCAGTCGGGCGTGAGGCACGGTGTGCCATCATGCGCATCGTTTGTCTGGAAAGGAATGGAGATGATGTTAAACGAATTCGCTTCACCAAAAAACGGTCCGGGAACACTTACACTGGGCAGGGCTATTGAGGCGGGCGCCGAGCTGTGCAGCCGCTGTGAGTCTTGGATGATCTGGTGCTTCTCCGCATCCGACAGCGGCGAGTTCACAACGTCCCGCAGCCGATTGCGCAGAGATTCATTCTCATATTTCAGGTTGCCGATCTCCATCTGGGTCTTTTCCTGTAGACTCTGTAAGAACACACATCGTACTGATCAGTTTTGGTTCCCTCTGAGCTGCGATTCTGCTGATGATGCTGCTGCTGTTCTACGACGCAAATGCTATCTACCAGACTAAATTAAAGGAGCGCATCGACTATAGATCGTATTGAATATCAATGGGTTGGTTAGGGTAGTGAAGCGCAACGCCCCCCGAGCTTAGTCATTAGCAAATGGCAAGGTCTATATTCAGAATACCCTTTATCAACCCCATTCTACAGGCGGCTATTAATCACAGTCCAAAAACGGCACTCTACGGATTAATTCATATTACTAATGTTATTTATAGATTAGCTTACTGACCCGCTGTAGTAAACAAAGTGTATCATCGACTTCATCTGGAAACTTTGCTAAAGTTCTCACTAAGTGGTACTCAAAATATAGTTCACCCCCTGGTGCAAGAGTATATAATGACTTTATCATCGGGCAAACAGCAACTATACTAATAACAATCACCCGTAACAATACATCAGCAGCTTGTGGTTAGCCTGCCGCCCCGTTTCCGCCCACAGTACACCCTATTTTGGACAACCTAAGGCAACCCATCACCCTAATCATCCCTCATTTTGCGCACCTGCATCTTAACCAGATCGCCCTTTAGCTTGGCCACCTCGCTTTGGTATGGCAGCAGCTCCGTGATGCGTGTTTTCAGCTGCAGTTGCTCGCTTCCCAATCTCTCCAGCTGCTTGTGCAGCTCCTGCATTTTGTTGTTAGCCTGTGTGGTTGAGTTTTGGTTATTAATCGCGTAAAGGACATACAAACAGGGAATGGCTCACCTCTAAGAGTTGCTGTTGTTGCTGTTCGTTGTTGATGAGTTGCTGCTGCTGCTGTTGCTGTTGTTGTTGTTGCTGATAGCTACTGGCTGCCACAGCGGCAACAGCAACGGCTGCTGCTGCTGCGGGAAATGAGTTAGCCGGACTATCGGTGCTGGTGTTGCTGCTGTTGGTCGATGTTACTGTTGCTGTTGCCGTTGCTGCTGCTGCTAGTTGCTGGTAGAAATCTGCTGCAGCGGCGGCAGCAGCGCCACCATCTTGCAGTGCGGCCAATGCGTTGTTGTTGTTGATGTTGCTGCTGCTGTTGCCAGTTGCTGCGGCCTGCGGCACGGCTGCCAGGGAAGTCATCAGTGGTTGCTGCTGCTGCTGCGGCTGTGGCTGTTGTTGTTGACTTGGCTGCTGTAGCTCAGATGCATTGTATTGCTGCTGCACCGGCAATTGCTTTGGCTGCTTCTGTCCCTTAAGCTTGGATTTCTTTTGGGGTAAGGTGTTGCTCTGGAGTTGCTGTTGTTGGTGCAACTGCTGTTGTCGTCGCTGTTGCTGCTGTTGGTTGGTCAGCAGCAGCGCCTCCTCATCACCCACATCCACACCCCTTTCGTAGCTGGCTGCCTCCTGGTGGGCGTAAAATTTTGTTGTTGCTTCTGTGTTGTTGTGTTGCTGCTGCTGCTGTGGTTGCTGCTGCTGCTGCTCGTGGGCGGTATTCAATGAAGTGCTCGACTGCGATTTCTGGCGATTGTTGTTGGAGGAGTGCTGCTGCTGCTTGTGCGAAGAATTGGAGGAGTTGGAGCTGGAGGTGCCCTGTCCTCTGCGGAACAAGGATTTCAGTTTGATCATCTTGCTGCCGGATTATCCTTGCTTGTTGCAAAACGTGAACCATCAACGGGCCAACTTTAATATTTCTTCTATGTTTTTATATATGTTTTGTGTTTCTAATGAGTGTTTGACATCGCGAACAATATAGTTTGTGTATTTCTGAATTTAGATTGGAGTTAGTTTCGGTTATTTCAGTGTTCGTTTATCGTTTATATTTAGTGTCTCTGACTAAATCATATTATTGATATATTTATTTTCTCGCTGTGTTCGTTTATCGGTTATCGTCTTTCGTTGGTTATTTTGTACTTGCTTGTTATCACATTGCTTTTATTAATTCAATTTGCTCTGCTTTCTTTTGATTTGAAAGAAACGGGGTAAAAAGTGAAACTGCTGTGCGAAATTGTTGTTCAGAATTTGTAATTCAAACCAAGCGACGAATAAGTTAATGAATGGCTGAAGGAAAGCGGACTCCAAATTGGATTCAGCAACAGATGCTCATGTTGCATGCAACATCGCAGCAACAATACAACTCGTTTGTGTGGCGGCAAGCATTTGCATGGCACTGTTGTTGCTGTGACCAAAAGAGTGGATAAGACAGAGAGAGATAAATCAAAACAAACACACAGGCACAGATACAGGCACAGTCGCGTTAATTCAAATGCACTCGGCGATCATGAAATCGAAATTAAGATTCTCAAAAGTAATCCCAGCTCGGATGTGGATTTGTACTTGGATGGAATGCCGGAATGGGGGAACGACGGACATATTGCCGTATCGCCCGGAGTTCCGCTGCAACGTCAACATTTCAGCTTGCATACACTCGAAATCACACGTACGACAAGGGACAGTCGGGGTCAAGTAAACAGCTTCGCAACTCGTTTAACATATCAAAAATTATCTACTTAATGATCTTATTCTTTGCTTTAGGCCTAGGTGCTTATCTGATTTCTTCATCAAGGACAAAAAATTTATCTTACACTCTTGAATTATTTTGAAAGTACTATGTAGTTGATCTTTGCTGTGAGCTAGTGTACCTACATACGTACAATTGTGTGTAAAAGGCGTTAATTGTTTGTGTGAGAGAAAGAGAGGACTCTCTGCGCCAGCCCCTCACCCCACCGCTCACTACACCTTGCCCTTAGCGTGTGCGTGCGTGTTTGTTCATTTGTTCGTTTCTCATTGTCACAAATATGCCGGATTACTCATGTCACGACGCGTCACAAAGACGGAGCAGGAGAATCAAATGAACTGCAACTGAGCAAATGACATTGACAGCTGACCGCAGCAGCGAGAGAGCTGCAACAGAGCTGCACTTGCAACACGCCGACCTGGCCAGTGTTGGTAACAGTCCGGCTTTACAGTTTCTTCAGATTTCGCCCGTTTTTGTTTGCCATTTATGGCCTCGAATGATTTGGATTTTGATTCCGCTTTTTATTTTGTGACAGCGACCCACGCGAAACACGAAAATTTGTTTATTTTACTCTGGGCCTTAAAATGAAACGCAAACAGTGAAGTGACATCATGCCAACGAGCGAAACACGAAATTAAATTCATATTCTGAGGGACACTTTTTCCTTAATTACCGATGAACACGGGCGTTTTCCTTATCATATTGCTGGGGGTTTATCTTTATCTCGTTTGCTCAGCGATAATAGAATAAGTTGGATAATTAGACGAAGAGCAAGCGAAACACTTTCAATTACGGTTTGGAAGCGCGCTCTAATTCGAAAGCTATGCAACACTGACAATGCAACTGCAGTGTAATACGAGAGAGAGCGCGAGGCAGGATGTGAGGAGAACAAGAGAACCAAGATCGGGTTGCCCTTCAAAGAGAGCCAGCAACAACAATGGAGTTGCCCAACTGAGCACGGTAAATGAATGAATATCAGAGGGGACGGAAAGGGAGACAGAGAGGCAGAAAGATAGATTATAAATCAAACACCAACAACACCATTTAACTATTTGCACCAGTTAACTGTAAAAGGGAATTCTTTCGCTTTTCGCACACTCTTTCGTCAAAAAAAAACCGGAATACGCCAGCAAAACAAAAAGCTAACTCCACACGCATACTAATATGGTGTGCTCACACACTCACACACCCGAAACGAGCCGAGCTCTTTTTACTTTATTATTGCTACTTTAATAAAAACCATTACTGCTGCACAGAGTCCGGGGAAAAACAGTAAGGCAAATTAAGGTAAAGTTCGCGAAAACAAGAGGAACAACGCACGACACCAAATAGACGAAAAACTGGCAGCAAGCGACGCGCGTTTTCTGTTTCTGCTTTCTGCAAACAACAACAACAAGTGTCCAGTCGACGGCGACTATCGATAAAGCCCGATAACACTCCGCCACCAGAGGGCGCCCCAGCCACAGCGCATGCGTGACGCGTTGTCCAACACTGCAATGGCGCCAAGAACTGATATTTTCAAATAGCACTGTTGCATTAAGATGTAACCAAACGTGTTAATTATTGGTTTTAGTGCCTATCTATATTTTAAACTGCGAGAAAAGAATTTTTTCCATCTCTTTCGGAACAAATATAATATATAACTATATAATAATGTAAAAATATATATTTCAGCCCGTAAATATTGATTATATTAGAATTAAAGTTGAAAAATCGGCTTGCCCTTTACACGTTTAAAAAAAGTTAATATTGTTTTTTGAATTACAAAAATGAATTAAAGTTCCCACTTCCCAACTATCACAATGGTCTCACTTTAATAACTTGTAAAGATATGTATGGCATTTTAGCATGGGTTTGCCCTCTTAGGTCACAGAGAGCCTAAAACCATGAACCAAAGTCAAGCTCCCATTTCTTCGAATGACAATTCAATTTACCTGGCGACTCACCCCGCATTCTTTACTATCTTTATGATATCTTCTTTTCCCCGTAATACGTGTTCGTGCACTGAGCGAAATTGCTGGAAATAATGTCAGATTATGGCCCCAAAGATGATGATCAATAACCAATATCTACTTTATTCCTCTTGATTTCAGACGATTAATACTCTGATTTCACTGAACTAAACCATATTTATGCACATAATTTCCCCCAGTACCTGGCTAGTGGGCAAATTCTTCTGATTCTTTTGGCCATTCTTCTGGGGCTTTTCTTCCGATGCCTCTTCTTAAGCATGGGGCTTATCAGAGGCAGCAAACCAAAGAAACCGCAAGAGGCAGCAAAGCGCGTCGCCCGTTCAATGTTGGCGAGGTGGGGTGGTGTGGGGGTCATTTGTGGTTTTCTGCATTTCTGCCTCTTCCACGTTTCTCTCGGCCTAAGCCCCTCCGCCATCCCGCTACCATTTCCCCACCACGTTTCTCTTTTATGATTTGTATTGTTTGAAAGCTAGGTACGTTAGAGGTCTTTGACCAAAAAGCCAGGCCAAAACAGCGCTTATCGTTAAGGCCTCCCGCCCTCCCCCTCTATTCACCTTCAACGCCTTCAGAGCTCCGTGTCCAACCCCCACTGGAAGGCCCGTGGAAACAGCAGCTGATAACCGCAGAGCCCCCTCCCATCCCCCCTTTCGGATCGCATTTCGCTGGCCACCTGAGAAAACCACTGGTCAGCCAGTTAAAACTTAAAAACTTGGCCATTCATTCGCTCCTGACATATTAAAAAAAGAATGTACAAAAAATAAAATACCACTCGGAGGCAACCTGGAGGTGTTGAGGGGGTTTCATCAGGGGCTCACAGCCCCTCCGGCCATTCACTTGCGTTGGGAAAGGCAAAAGGGGGCAGTTGCTCTGTGAATTTTCGTTTCTTTATAAATGTTACGCTTTGGCGCGCCAAAGAAATGTGCGCTTCAGTCTAAACAGTCGGCCACATCGGTGGTTTTCCCACAAGTTCAGAATATTAGAGAGATCAATGACAGAACTTGAATGGAAAGATTTCAGAACAGGCGGGTATTTGATATCTGATATCAGTTAACTGAATTCCTAGCTACCACGTTAAGTGATGTGTCTAAACTTTATAATATAATTATCAAAACTATACATTTCTATATCATAATCATAAATAATAATAATAAGAAGAAATCCTAATGCAGCGGCCTGCGTAGTCACTGCCGACAGTTTGTTAACCGTTTTACCGCTCGAATTATGCGCTGCTCTCTTTTGAAATGTTTATGATTGTGTTTATCGGCCTTTGTTCGGTCCGCTTGTCATATGTTTGTTGTATGTTATATGTTGTGTAGTTTTATGCATAGTTTGCGGTGGAAATACAAACGCCGGGGACAATAAATTATTTTTAGAAAACGGTTTCATTTTCGCTAAAGTTTCTAAAAACTCTTTTCTGGTTTCTTTTGAGACATATACATAAATATTTATGCGTGGTTTCGAAGTTTTAAAGTTTCTTTGTCGATGGTTTACGTTTTGCTGTTGTTGCGGCTATTAACGTTAATGTTGTTGCTAGCTTAGAAGCAGAAAGTGGAAGTTTCACTTCCCCGAAATTATATAATTAATGCGATTTTAATGGGTTTCGCTTTGAAAACTAGCAACAACAATGGAATCTGGTTTAAAATGTTTTTCTTTTGTACTTTTCACTTACCCTTCGCCTCGCAGGGAATGTAGAAAAAGAAGCGATGAAGAGGGTGGGAGAGAAGGAGGCACGGCGGCAATCAAAATCAATCAAACGGTTCTTCTTCTAGATTCTTTCCTTTTCCCTATTTCCTTGCGGTTTGTCGTTGTTGTTGTTGTTGTTGTTTTCAGTTGCCGTCTCCGCTAGTTTTGCATGTATTTGTAAGGCACTTGCACCTTTGACTTTTTGTTGCTGCTGCACACAGAAAAAAATAACAAAAAAAAAGATCATAAACTTGGGCCACACACACACACACACTCTCACTTAAGAAAAAATAACTGCAGCGTTAATTACATTAGAAATTCGTAAGCAAAGCCTTGCAACAATGGAAAAAATCCAACTAATTAGCAATTATTTGCGGCTCTTTTTGTATTTCTTCTATTTTTTTCACAAATTCCAATTAGATGAAGCGGCCGCCATCTGCAAATGCCATTTGTTGTTGTTGTTGTTTCTTACTGGCTGCCGTTAGTCCCGTTATTTTGCAGACACAGCGAGTGCAGTTGGAGGAAGAGGTGGAGCAAGCAGGAAAGAGATAGCCAATGACCTCCACTTGATGATGGGCAATTAACATTCATTTAGTTTTGCTTCTGTTTTGTTGCTACAATTAAAAATATGCCTTTGCACTGCATGATGCTGCTGTTCGATTTGAAGTTTTATTTATAGAAGCCGAAGAATCTCCGATTGGAATCACAGCCGTTCGCGGGAATTACGATTACCGGACTTATATGTTTGCCAGAGGCTATCACTGTGGTAAGTGTTTAATACCGTTGCAGCCTGCCAATATGATATGCTCTTGCTTTTGTTATTATTATTAATTGCTATCACCAAACGATCCGATTCGTCCGCGAACCGTCGCGTCTCACCGTTTTTGTTGTTGCGTTTTGTTATTGTTGTTATCGCTCGGGATGGAACAATATCGATTCATTTCACTGGGCTCAGTGGGACCTCTTTCAGAGCGCCAAAAAATACCATAAAACTGAAATACTAACCAGAGCCAATTTTTGATTTTTTATTTGCACAAAAAAAAAACAGCAGAAGTATCTCAAAAGACCTTTTTTACTTCCAAGCTTTAATGGTTGCTTGTTTGTTAAAAAAAAAGATAAGAAAATAAACTACTCTATCTACTCCTTGACCCGCTCCACCTCGCTGGCGTCAAACGGCACCTCCTCGACCTTGTGGAAGCCCGAGAATCTGATGATCTTGCCGGTTCCCTCTACCTTTAAGTGCTTGGCGAACTGCTGCGCCGGCGACAGGGCCAGGTCTTCCTCCGTCTTGTAGCCATAGAACTTGGCCCAATCGTTGCGTCCGGTGTAAACCATGTAGCAAACGAGGCCGAATGCCTGCCAGGCTAAAATCGCGTATCCGATACTCAGGCGGCGCTTCCACAGTTCCGCCCGGTGCTCCGGAATAGGGTTTGTGTTGCGCCGCACCCAGCGACGCAACCACTTCATCTCGAACAGCGCCATTTATTGTTTATTTGTGAAATTGTTTAAGTTTGTTATGTAAAATAACGAGGCAACTTGTAAACAAACTGACAGCTGATTGCTAGGGTTGCCAGACGTGTGCGAGTAATCGGCACCACTACTTTAACCCCCTGGCTGCTCGTTGAAAGAGTTAAATTAAAAATCAATTGAGTTATTCATTTCTTAGATTATATAACTATAAAAACGAACTTAAAAGCAATACAATTGCTTAAGTGGGATAAAGAAACCTCCTATCATAATTCACCCTTAAACAACCCTCGAAAACCTACCCCGCCAATGGGGTAGCGCTCCACCAACTGTGCCAAGTCGTGTTGCCACTTCTCGCTTCCGATATGAAGCTAAATGTAATTTTTTAAATACCTTAAAAACATTAGACCCTTATTGAATATACAAGACCAAAATAGGTCATTCTATGATAAACAAGGTCGGTAATTTTAAAGAGTTCATAAAAAAAAGGCCATAACTGAATATTCCTCAGCTGGGCTCTGCTAATAATCACATCTGGCTGCAAAGTAGCTAAAGTGACAGCACTGGATTGGCCCTAGAACAGAAGATAATGAAACGCCGATCGGGGCAAACAAAGCCAGTGCTCCCGATCCGAAGGCAAAGCAGGAAAGATCAGGAAATTAGCAGCAGGAGACTGGATGAGTAATGCAACGGAAGGAAAGGCCGAACGGGATTTAATAATTCGCAATTCACAGCCGGGGTCGCCAACTTATCCTACTGGAGGTCAGAAGGTGATCCAGTTCGTGCCGACGACGCCCGGTTTTTTAAAAACTCAGAAGGTATAGAATTTTACGTTTGCTCCTTTTCCATTGGTATAAGAAATTACAAATTTACAGTTGATCCAACGCTCATGTACTGGAACTTGGAAAAGTGAAACTGATAAATAAGATGCCAACTACACAGCACTCGCCGCAAGATCACTCCCTTGCCCACTCTCTCGCTCAAGGACACGTCCTGGATAAGAACGATGCCAAGGAATCAGAGGGTGGCGAGGCGGGCAACATGCCCAACCTTTCAACATTGTCCCTGGGCGAACTGAAGGAGCTGGACAGGGATCCCGAGTTCTTTGACGATTTTATCGAGGAAATGTCCGTAGTGCAGCACCTTAACGAAGAGTTAGACTCAATGATGAACCAGGTGGAGAACATATCAAGTCGGTATCTCAAGATGATATTCTAGTATATTCACTAACCCCTTTCCAATCCGATCCAGGGGAGAACGAGAGCAAGGGCAACCATTTGGTAGAGCTGAAGCGCCGTCTCAGTGATGATTACACAGCACTGAAAACACTGGGCGAGAAGTGCGACCAGCTAAATAAGAAATATATGAAGAAGTCGGAGGAATATGCTCCTCAGCACATAAGGGTATGTATGGAAGCCCTATATACATTAGAATGTACTAAAATCCCTCTAATTATGCGAATTTCCCTTGGTTAACCTTTCAGGAACTCCTTCAGATTGCTGCTTCCAATGCCGATGCCGATTGTGATAGGCATGTGGAGCACTTCTTGAACGGAAAGATCGACGTACAGACGTTCCTCAACACTTACCAGAGCTCCAAGAAGATTAGCGCCGAGCGCAAGGCCAAGGAGGAGCGCTTGGGCACCCAGCTGAGTGCCTTAGAGCGGGCCGGTATCTAGGATAAGTGCCGGGCCATGTATATGTGTGTGCAATCCACTCAATGTATATTTCACTCCTCCCTCCGCCACGAGTCGCAATAATTGAGTCTAAGAAGGATAATGAACAGAGAAACCAAACCGCACCGAGTAGAGATATGGAGCCAGATATAGATGGCATTGGGGATCCAATTCGATCCCCGCCTATAAACAGAAAGCAAAACCGTAGGGAAGCAATGATAAACACTCACTTATAGCTGCTATATTTAAACACGTGTAAATCGGTGGAGTGGCTTGAAATTCTAATTATACCTCCATAACGGGATGCCTATGTGAAATGTCCGAGTTCCAAATCCAGCCCCAAATCCCAATCGCATGTATTACCCAAGGCTTTATTTTTTTTTCGACTTTTATTTTGTCCCATGGCCAGCCCAATCGATATATTTGTACTATGTATATTTAATAAACTATTATTGTATGATACCAGTCGTTTCCTTCTCTTTCTAATTGGGGATTTACCCCGTTGGAATGTCTGCCATGGAATTCTCCATATTGCAGTTGTCCATTTTTAATACGAATTCATTTTTGTTTACGTTCTTCAAGTGCATATTTTTATTTTATCAATTTATTAGTGGTTATTCCCGCATTAAATTATACAACATTGAAAAATAGCTCTTTTTAAAGAAAATGTTGAAAGTAAGATTTGCTAGTAAAACTATATATACAAAATATAGATATATAAATATCATCCCACAATAAATATTCAATATTTTCCAAATATTTAAAACATATCTTATTTTTAACTGATCGTTTAAATGATTTGCTTGGTTTCATGTTTAAAATTTAAAAAATACCGCCCAAGAGCAGTTATTTTAAATTAAATATTATTAAGCCCAAAAGTCTTCGGAATTCTACGGGACATAGATTTGTGTAATATACAAAATATATTTCCAACATAATACAAAAAAAAACGAGATTAATATTGTTACATTTAATATTCAAAATCTCATCTACAAATTATAGTATTTTTTGGTATTTTAGGCCCCCAACTTTCTATCTACTGTATATAATAGCTGATTTATCGGCCCCGCCGATCTTGGCCAGAAATGGAGTGGTCTAACTGATAGCAATCCTCTTGCCCTTGCCCTTCATCCACTGGGGTCACATAATCTCGGACTGATAAGCGGAACGAAGCAATCGCTTAATTTGACAACAAACTAGTGCATTTTCAACGTTTACGTATACGGGTGACGACATGGCTCAAACCACCGAAGTGCTGGTCTTTGGCTCTGCCATCATAGACTTTATATGGTTAGTATGGTGATTGAAACCCTCTAGTGATGAATTGAACAAAGGTCCTTTGCAGTTATACCTCCCGCCTTCCAAAACCTGGAGAAACGCTCCATGGACACCGATTTCAGACAGGTTACGGCGGAAAGGGCGCCAATCAGTGCGTGGCCGCCGCTCGCCAAGGATCCCGCACAGCTCTTGTGGCTAAATTGGGGGCAGATACCTTTGGCGGCGACTATTTGCGACAGCTGCGCGAGGAGCAGGTTAATGTGGAGCACGTGCAGCAGTTGGAAGGCCAAACGACGGGCGTGGCTCAGATAGCTGTGTCCGATGACGGCGAGAACAATATCATCATCGTGGTGGGCGCCAACAGTCAGCTGAGCCCCTCCGATGTCAACAAAGCTGACAAGCTTTTTCAGGAGGCCAAAGTACTGGTCTGCCAACTGGAGACGCCAATTGAGGCTACCCTGACGGCCCTTAAGTCTTTCCAGGGCGTCTCAATCGTGAATGCGGCCCCGGCCATGGAGAATACACCCCAGGAACTGCTCCAGCTGGCCAGTATCTTTTGTGTGAACGAAAGTGAGGCGGCTCTTATGACCCAAATGGTCAAAATCGAGACCGTGGAGTATGTACCATGTAGGCTAGGAAAAACTATTTTAACCGGTGTATCTTATATACTAGGGAAGCCCAAGAAGCCGCTGCGAAGCTGAGAAAAATGGGCGCCAACATAGTTATAATAACTCTGGGGAAACTAGGAGCCATTTTCGGAACCTGTGACCCTAAGGACGGTTACCAGCATGTTCCTGCGCCGCAAGTGCCACCAGAGAAAGTGGTGGACACTACAGGAGCCGGTGATGCCTTTATCGGCGCTTTGGCCCACAACATTGCCCGTCATCCAAAGAACAAAATGAGGGATCATATTGTCGCCGCCTGCCAAGTGGCCTCTCAATCCGTCCAGCTACCCGGGACACAGGCCAGCTTTCCACGTACTTAGAGGCCGAACATTAAATCTCTTTTCAAACGTACAATGCTCTATTTAATGGTAAGCGTAAGTATAAAAAAATTGAAGTCCAACTGGTTAGACGATGAATTTTGGTCCACATGGCTGTGATTCGGCTAAAAATGCAGCATCCAGTGGTATGCGGATACAGATGGGGTGCGTGGGTATAACATCACTTCTTCCCCGACTTCTTAATCCCGCCGCCGACGAGAGGGCCCTTCTTGGAGGCATTTGCCTTTGCCGCGTCCAGAGCCTTCTGTTGCTCCTTCTGCTTCTGCTTGAAGGCCATGTCCTCTTCGTCCAAGTCTTTGGAGTCCTTCTTCGGCGCCTTCAGTGGCTTCTTCTTACCGCCCTCGCGTCCAGACATGCTTGCTTGCTATTGCTACTAGGAAAATTGCGGAAAACCATAAATTCCAGGAGAATTCATACACAGAAAAGTCACGCACCTTTTTCACACGTTTTTCCGATTTCTGCTGAACGATTGTCACAAGCACTATCGATGACCAGTTTTCGATAGCTTTTTAATAGCCGTGTATTATCGGTGTCCGAGGATGTATGCCAAACGATAATTTAAATTCTTAATTTTCGCGCACTTTTGCTTTTTAAAAGCAACCATAAACAAACTCTCAGATAACTAACGTAGAACTAGAAAAAGTTTCTGGACCCTTCAAAGGTCACCGAAATCTTTATTCTAGCTAAGAAATCCCGGGTTTGACTTTTTAACGGTGAATTAAAATTTTTTAATAAGTAAAAGATTGACTTTTACAAAGGGGGTTCAAGTTGAACTCACTGCCTTACAAATTAAAGTCTGAATAATTTTCGAAAGCCTACCAGATGAAGTTTTAAAAAGTTAAGTATTTTTACTGCTAGAGATGGCATATCGCCAGTAAGACAAAGATAGGTGGCCATTACAACAGTAAGATTAGGTATCGATGTTACATCGTCGTTCGCCCACCTCTAGTATCAAGTCCGCCGAAATAAAATAAATAAGAAATCGGACGCTAAGTCCAAGTTCCCCCGTTCCCCGGATGCAGCGCAGCGAGCTTTGGGTCCCTAAGAATCCAGCGTGGGACTGGAATTCCGAATCCCTCTCCGCCCCACTGCGGATACTGGCCTCGGCATCCGTCTTCGCATCCTTAACCACCCTCTACCGAGCGCAGCATCCGCTTTCGAATCCGCGGCACCAAAGAGACGGTAAGTTTTTCCTAAAAAAAATCGGAGTTTAAGAAGCAGGGGATGGTTTCCCGGAGGTAGAATAGAATAGGAAAATATAAGAACCAATGTAAGGAAACAGACAGGTAGACCGATTGAAGGCTAGATTGCGTGACGGCAGCGTTACAAATTGGATTAGAACGGCGATTGATTCTGAATGGAAGATGTAAACAATCTCCAACGGTTTGCTGTGCACCGAAATCAACGTAACTAACGGTAATATTATAGAATTCGTAAACATTAGAATTTTTATAATTGTTGTTTCAAAAATATATAATTTTAAAATCGGAAAACGTGAATAGAAAAATAGAAAAAACACGTTTTGAATAAATTTAAGATTGTGGTGAATGGATAAGAAAAATATAACCAAAAATATAAATAAATAAGTATCGAAAATAGATGGGACAGAAGTAAATAGAATAGAATAGCAGTATAGATTCAAAATTATATCGTATTTTCTCTCAGTGCCCTTGTCCCCCACCTGCTGTTCTGTAATTGCCAATATAAGGAATGCCCGAGGCATCTATTTTTATAACGATTAGCATAGTCGTTATGGTGATGAAGTTAGGACGGGGCGTCCGCTATGCTTTTCCCCAATGTGACCCCCGTCGCGCCCAACGGGCCCAGGGTCACCACTACCACCCACTATCTCTCGTTTATTGAAAAGTTGTCATAATTCAACGAGAGGTCCTTCGAGGACAAGCCACCGGATGTTTTAAGTCTACTCAAGTGTGGGTAAATATTTATATATACATTTAAATAATGTAATGCTTAGCATTAGCCATTATCAGGTATTTTCCACGGATTATTAGCCAGCATATAACTAGCATTTCCGCCTCATTAAATCTGAAACCATAGATTTTTGGCTTTATAAATCTGTGTCGTCCTCTAAATTTGAAAGTTGAGGTAATACAACACTTCCACGTTTATTCAGCTGGATACTCGTTTTTATCAAAACAAAAATCAAGGTATTTATATTTATTAAGCAAGGGGTTCTTTCAAAGCAGCCCATGCTAATCGTACGAGTATTCGAACTTTGAGATAGGTTTACAATACACATACGAAACCTTTTTACAAGTCCGAGTAATGGGATCATTACAAATTCGCAAACGAGCAAATTATTATTAGACATTGGAACCCTAATGTTAGGTAATTGATGTTAGGAGATACGATCTGAGTTGAAAAGACTCTAGTATCTAAAAATAACCGAAAATAAAGGCTATTTGAACTGCGACTGCATTAGAATTTTAAGAGCCCCATAATCGAATTCCCGTCGAGAGGCATATCTCATCCGATTTGGACTTTGAGCCATGTTCTCGGCACGCAAGATAAGAGGCCGCCAATCAGAGAACTGGTTTCAATTGCGGGTCAAAATCAGCAACCTTGGCCATTGTATACAAGTTGTCTGTGCAAAACTAAATGAGCATAAATTAGTTCAATGCACAAATATTACAAGTGACTGTCCAGTTCCATTGTCCAGTCATTGTCGTAGTCGTTGTCGCTGTCGAGTGGCCTAAAAGTATAAGATAATGATAAGGGGGGTGATAATCAATTGGCCATAAAACGGGGAAGCGTGGGTGGATGGGTTAGCCGGGTTAGTCGACTGGCAATCAATCAATTTTATGAGTCGGACAACCAATTTGCAATCTAATCCGCAGTCTTTCCACGATGAGCACCAGCGAAGGGAGTGGCCACGGTAGTGGGATTCGGAATCCAAATGGGAACGAAAATGGAGATGGGACCCTAAGCCTGATGCAGGACTTGCAGAACAAGTACAACTTCCTCGAGAATTTGTTTAGCAAGTTCTGGAAGTCCATTATCAAGACGAATTCCAATCTCAAACTGCAACTGCGTAATGTCAAATGGAAAAATGCCAAGGCAAAGCCCGGTTGTGCCTACCAGCCAACAGAGGTTAGTTTTGACCTCGTTTTGATATTCATTCCTCTAGCAAATATTTATCAACATTTGTATCGTTGAAAACAGATTGAACAGGTGGCCAACGTAATTACTCACGGGATTTGGATACTGCCCGCCGTGTTTGCGGCCATAAAACTGTTTGAGCGCTCATCCAGTGCCAGCCAGTATTTGGTTTCCTGGGTTTACGGCGGTGCCCTTTGTATGCTCTTTACGGTGTCAACCTTCTTCCACTGCTCCTGCTACTGCGCCGAGCACAAGTTGGTGGACTAAATTGTCTTCCCTTGATCCATTTACTAACTGATTTACTTTTCTTTCTCCTAAGACCCCCAAGGAATGTCAAGGCCTGGCCCAGTTTTGGATGGCAGACGTACCAGGGCTTGAAGAACGTGCTCCATCGCTGCGACAGGGCCATGATCTATGTGTTCATCGCCGGCTCATACTTCCCTTGGCTCACGCTGGAGAACACCGACCACTCGGCCATACTTTTCTGCATGGAGTGGGTCATTTGGCTAATGGCGGGCATTGGCATTGCTTACCAGCAGGTAAATAAAGCCATGAACCCGTGAACTTTTTCCATTAAATACGATCGAAGGCAAAAATCTTTTATCTAGCAATGAATCAATACTAATAATATTTTTCCCATTAATCAGCTCTACCATGAGCGCTACAAGTGCCTAGAGACGTTCTTCTACCTGGTAATGGGTCTGGGCCCAGCTCTAGTTGTTGTGTTCACTGGCCACCACTTCCATGGAATGTTGCAGCTGAAGTTCGGCGGCGCTTTCTATATCCTGGGCATCGTGTTCTTCAAGGCGGACGGAATGATACCGATGGCCCATGCCATTTGGCACCTTTTTGTAGTGTTGGCCGCTGGATGCCACTACTATGCCATCCTTGTGAACCTATACCCCGGCGATGGAGCCATCGAACCGTGAGAAATGCATAGAAGAAGTTGGGGGACGCAGCGAATTTAGACCTTAGAGTACTTAACGACTGGGACTCGATTTTGTCAGCCAAGTGTAACGTATTCCTATGATGAACATGTACCCAAGTCTCTGCTCCACATTTGGCCAAATTTTTTTTCCGAGAGAATACGAATAGTAGTAGAATTTAGTATTAGGAACTAACTAAATCGAAACGATTCTTGTGATCAGCATCTGCGGCCTTGCCAAAGATTCAAATTGTGCGAGTGCTCATGGTTCTCTCCCTCTCTATCTGATATTATTAGCTATATTCATATATTTACTATATATTGACCATGTACCAGCTCCCGTTTTGGCCATGTGTTTCTCAAAAGACTTTGATCAGTACTCAAAAGGCGAATGATACAAACGAAAACGGAAAAACAAAGTGAAATTGTACAAATATCGGAAAATTTACAACCTGAATTTCCTAGCCCACCCCGCGCCTTTTGAACACTAGAAGCCAGAAGACCGCCTAGCCTGCATTACATTTACATGTTTATACAGATTATACAGATATACTTTACATCATATACAGATCTATTAGAGTTAAGATTGTCGTCCGACACGCGAGTCCAGCCCCTTTGGCCAGTTTCATCGCTTAGCTCAGGGACTACTCGATGTGTTCGCAGATACTGAAAAAGGTGATCATATACGCTTGATATTATGGGGCGTGGCTCGCGATCGTCGGATATTGCTTTCGTGTAATCGTATTTTGGTGTCAGCCGTGCCAATTTCTGGTGCAGCTCCATTAGTTGTAATGCGGGATTCTAGGACATATACCATATATGCATGAATAAATGGTTTATCTTAAAATTAATGAAAAGGTTTTTGTGTGTTCCACGGGGAGCTCAAAAGTCCCACAGTAGTTGTATATTTGTAAATGTTATTTACTTCTCGCTAAGTTATGAAGTTATTTAAAACGTTTTTTGTTGGAAATATATGATTTTACTGTCAATATTGCGTTGTCTTTTCATGGCCGGCCAAAAATATAAATAAAAAGATAATAAAACCTTACCCTTGATAAAAGCAAGTATGGGGTCTTAAAGTTTCGGTTGTTAGCTGCACAAAACAGTCATTGTTTTAGCCATGCTGCTTGTTTTGACAAAGTTAGAGCTAAGAAATGGGAAGGAAATCGGAATCTCCGTTGCCAAAAGACTGAATTTTGAAGGTAGGGCATTTTTTGAAAATTTTGATGATCAAAAATGCGAAATTTGGGCCAAAATTGACTTTCCCAAAATCGAAAAACGAGTGATAGGGGTGGTTAGTATTGCTCGTTAGCAGCACGAAACAGTCGTTCTTTTGGCTGTGCGTCTTGTTTTGACCGAGATAGAGCTAAAAACCCGAAAATATATTGCAAATTTCTGTTAAAAATCGGTTTCCTGATTTTTTAGCCCTTAAAACAGAGCTCCCACCAAAAAATCAGAACAAGAATGATACAAGCAAGTATAGGGGCTTAAAGGTTTGGTTGTAAGCTGCACAAAACAGTCCTTGTTTTAGTCATGAAGCTTGTTTTGACAAAGTTAGAGCTAAGAAACGGCAACAAGCCGGGCTTTCTGCTGCCAAAAGACGTTTACTTGATTTTGAGCACAAAAAAATCAGTTTTTTGTCTATAGCTCAGCCAAAAATGGCCCAAATGAGGAATAAAATACCTCGTAGGGCTCGTAATTTGATTGCAATGATTCCCAATTGGTTTGCATTCAAATCTGGGAAACTTCATTTTTGGGCATTTTTTGAAAATTTTGATGATGGTACCCCTTATCAAAAATGCGAAATTTTGGCCAAAATTGATTTTCCCAAAATCGAAAAACGAGTGATAGGGGTGGTTAGTATTGCTCGTTAGCAGCATAAAACAGTCGTTCTATTGGCTGTGCGTCTTGTTTTGACCGATATAGAGCTAAGAACCCGAAAATATATTGCAAATTTCTGTTAAAAATCGGTTTCCTGATTTTTTAGCCCTTAAAACAGAGCTCCCACCAAAAAATCAGAACAAGAATGATACAAGCAAGTATAGGGGTTTAAAGGTTTGGTTGTAAGCTGCACAAAACAGTCCTTGTTTTAGTCATGAAGCTTGTTTTGACAAAGTTAGAGCTAAGAAACGGCAACAAGCCGGGCTTTCTGCTGCCAAAAGACGTTTACTTGATTTTGAGCACAAAAAAATCAGTTTTTTGGCTATAGCTCAGCCAAAAATGGCCCAAATGAGGAATGTAATACCTCGTAGGGCTCGTAATTTGATTGCAATGATTCCCAATTGGTTTGCATTCAAATCTGGGAAACTTCATTTTTGGGCATTTTTTGAAAATTTTGATGATGGTACCCCTTATAAAAAATGCGAAATTGAGGCCAAAATTGATTTTCCCAAAATCGAAAAACGAGTGATAGGGGTGGTTAGTATTGCTCGGTAGCAGCATAAAACAGTCGTTCTTTTGGCTGTGCGTCTTGTTTTGACGGAGATAGAGCTAAAAACCCGAAAATATATTGCAAATTTCTGTTAAAAATCGGTTTCCTGATTTTTTAGCCCTTAAAACAGAGCTCCCACCAAAAAATCAGAACAAGAATGATACAAGCAAGTATAGGGGTTTAAAGGTTTGGTTGTAAGCTGTACAAATCAGTCCTTGTTTAAGACATACGGCTTGTTTTGACAAAGTTAGAGCTAAGAAACGGCAACAAGCCGGGCTTTCTGCTGCCAAAAGACGTTTACTTGATTTTGAGCACAAAACAATCAGTTTTTTGGCTATAGCTCAGCCAAAAATGGCCCAAATGAGGAATAAAATACCTCGTAGGGCTCGTAATTCGATTGCAATGATTCCCAATTGGTTTGCATTCAAATCTGGGAAACTTCATTTTTGGGCATTTTTTGAAAATTTTGATGATGGTACCCCTTATAAAAAATGCGAAATTGAGGCCAAAATTGATTTTCCCAAAATCGAAAAACGAGTGATAGGGGTGGTTAGTATTGCTCGGTAGCAGCATAAAACAGTCGTTCTTTTGGCTGTGCGTCTTGTTTTGACCGAGATAGAGCTAAAAACCCGAAAATATATTGCAAATTTCTGTTAAAAATCGGTTTCCTGATTTTTTAGCCCTTAAAACAGAGCTCCCACCAAAAAATCAGAACAAGAATGATACAAGCAAGTATAGGGGTTTAAAGGTTTGGTTGTAAGCTGCACAAAACAGTCCTTGTTTTAGTCAGAAGCTTGTTTTGACAAAGTTAGAGATAAGAAACGGCAACAAGCCGAGCTCTCTGCTGCCAAAAGACGTTTACTTTATTTTGAGCACAAAAAAATCAGTTTTTTGGCTATAGCTCAGCCAAAAATGGCCCAAATGAGGAATAAAATACCTCGTAGGGCTCGTAATTTGATTGCAATGATTCCCAATTGGTTTGCATTCAAATCTGGGAAACTTCATTTTTGGGCATTTTTTGAAAATTTTGATGATGCACATTTCTGTTAAAAATCGGTTTCCTGATTTTTTAGCCCTTAAAACAGAGCTCCCACCAAAAAATCAGAACAAGAATGATACAAGCAAGTATAGGGGTTTAAAGGTTTGGTTGTAAGCTGTACAAATCAGTCCTTGTTTAAGACATACGGCTTGTTTTGACAAAGTTAGAGCTAAGAAACGGCAACAAGCCGGGCTTTCTGCTGCCAAAAGACGTTTACTTTATTTTGAGCACAAAAAAAATCTGTTTTTTGGCTATAGCTCAGCCAAAAATGGCCCAAATGAGGAATGTAATACCTCGTAGGGCTCGTAATTCGATTGCAATGATTCCCAATTGGTTTGCATTCAAATCTGGGAAACTTCATTTTTGGGCATTTTTTGAAAATTTTGATGATGGTACCCCTTATCAAAAATGCGAAATTTGGGCCAAAATTGATTTTCCCAAAATCGAAAAACGAGTGATAGGGGTGGTTAGTATTGCTCGTTAGCAGCATAAAACAGTCGTTCTATTGGCTGTGCGTCTTGTTTTGACCGATATAGAGCTAAGAACCCGAAAATATATTGCAAATTTCTGTTAAAAATCGGTTTCCTGATTTTTTAGCCCTTAAAACAGAGCTCCCACCAAAAAATCAGAACAAGAATGATACAAGCAAGTATAGGGGTTTAAAGGTTTGGTTGTAAGCTGCACAAAACAGTCCTTGTTTTAGTCAGAAGCTTGTTTTGACAAAGTTAGAGCTAAGAAACGGCAACAAGCCGGGCTTTCTGCTGCCAAAAGACGTTTACTTGATTTTGAGCACAAAAAAATCAGTTTTTTGGCTATAGCTCAGCCAAAAATGGCCCAAATGAGGAATGTAATACCTCGTAGGGCTCGTAATTTGATTGCAATGATTCCCAATTGGTTTGCATTCAAATCTGGGAAACTTCATTTTTGGGCATTTTTTGAAAATTTTGATGATGGTACCCCTTATCAAAAATGCGAAATTTGGGCCAAAATTGATTTTCCCAAAATCGAAAAACGAGTGATAGGGGTGGTTAGTATTGCTCGGTAGCAGCATAAAACAGTCGTTCTTTTGGCTGTGCGTCTTGTTTTGACCGAGATAGAGCTAAAAACCCGAAAATATATTGCAAATTTCTGTTAAAAATCGGTTTCCTGATTTTTTAGCCCTTAAAACAGAGCTCCCACCAAAAAATCAGAACAAGAATGATACAAGCAAGTATAGGGGTTTAAAGGTTTGGTTGTAAGCTGCACAAAACAGTCCTTGTTTTAGTCATGAAGCTTGTTTTGACAAAGTTAGAGCTAAGAAACGGCAACAAGCCGGGCTCTCTGCTGCCAAAAGGCGTTTACTTTATTTTGAGCACAAAAAAATCAGTTTTTTGGCTATAGCTCAGCCAAAAATGGCCCAAATGAGGAATAAAATACCTCGTAGGGCTCGTAATTTGATTGCAATGATTCCCAATTGGTTTGCATTCAAATCTGGGAAACTTCATTTTTGGGCATTTTTTGAAAATTTTGATGATGGTACCCCTTATCAAAAATGCGAAATTTGGGCCAAAATTGATTTTCCCAAAATCGAAAAACGAGTGATAGGGGTGGTTAGTATTGCTCGGTAGCAGCATAAAACAGTCGTTCTTTTGGCTGTGCGTCTTGTTTTGACCGATATAGAGCTAAAAACCCGAAAATATATTTCAAAGTTCTGTTAAAAATCGGTTTCCTGATTTTTTAGCCCTTAAAACAGAGCTCTCTGAATTCGTAATTAAAAGTTTAATCGAATTAATAAAAATATGAAATTTGATCAAATGGCATGGAGCAGCGGTTAAGCCTTTGCCCATTGTTTCGGATCCGACCGTGAAATACAACAGAAGATGACCACCCGACCGCCTTAATTCAGCAATCAGAGGCGATGCAACAATAGCTCAACGGTATATGAAAGAACCTGAAAGTAAAAGCCCGCCATAAAGGAAACTTCCAGACATAAAGCCCCTATAATTACCAACACCCCGAACGTTGTAAATGCATCAAAATTGAACCGCCCCTCGGGCCATATTTCACAAAAACACGGCGAGAAGGAAAAATAGGAGGAAGAGGAATTGGATACAGGAGACTGAGACTGAGAAGGAGACGGAGACGGAGGAGTCGCAAAACGTGCATTCAATTTCCAGCTCGAATCTTTATCCCCATACAATATACACTGCCATAAAAGCAAATCGAGGTGTTCGAATTTCGATATATACTAGGCATTGGTAAACCCATAAAGTTAATCATTTATAAATGATTAATAACTAATCGTAATTCTCGTGAAAATTTTATATTTTTAGTTTTCAATTTTCAAGTTTTTGCCTTCTACTTTTCTAAGTGCATTCCCAGCTCTCAAGATTTTACGCAATTTTCCTCAATGGAAATGTCGTCGACGCAGTTCTTTTTCATTGCATATCATCTGGTGGAAAATTGTCGAATAACTTTCCACGTGATGTGTTTGGGGTTAAGCATGCAAATAGAGCGGAATTCTGTCGCAATTTTCCCTT